ATAAAAATATTTAAATAACCGCAAAAAGCGGTGGCTTTGGAAGTGGCCGGGAACATCATTTTCTTTTCTGACTTACTGGATAATGGCATTAAAGAGCGATGACAATTATGCTAAAACATAAACGGCCCATTTTTTTAATTTAAATAAAACAAACGGCTCCGCCACTAATCAGATGTTTCACTAGGATACAATTTGGCTTGTTATTTTCGTCACGGACAGGTGACTGCACCGAACTCGATAGGTTTCCAGGTCAAGAATGTGATAACGGAATATAGACAAAAGAATCATTGAGACAACTGAAAATACCTCGACATCAGTAAATAGAAAAATGCCTGGAATAGTTTTTGCGCAGAAAATATGTACTCTATTATATTACAACTAGGACTCCAGCTGCTACCTATATAGTTTTAATAGGTAACGCTGTCACTTTCCTAACCAGCCCTTAGGTTCCTTTCAAGCCAATTAATCACTTAAAGATAACTTCTAGCGGAATGAGCAGACTGTCAAACTTCGGCAAAGTTGGGAAAACGCCAATACTTGCACGAAATTTTCTGCTCTCTCTACCGTTTCAGTAGTCCTGTATCTCAGGGTCTGGTAGTCTATTCTATGAAAGATCACCTCTTATAAAATCTCGTCAATACGCCGGGACCATACAGAAACTTTTGATACTTCACAATATAGAACGAGAGACTTGTTTAAGCGGTCACGGATGCAACTATAGCGAATACTGACGCCTTATATGCATGGATAGAGGGGCTCCGAACTAATATTAGACGACGGCCCCGATTCCTTCCTAGAATAAAATGCTCACTGAAGCCTTGGTTTTTGTCTGCGAGTATCTGTCGGCAAAGTATTGCGCAAGTATTTTAGTTGCAAACTGTATATAGAGCATTTTTCTCCTCTATCCAAAAAATTTCGAGCTATATTATCAAAATATGTATATTATAAAACAAATTGCGATTTTTGATTTAGCCAAAGCTCGCTTTCATTTCTGATTTCGCCCACAACCAGAAGGCGCATAGCCTATTGGTAAATTATTTATTTGACGAATTTGGTTAATTTCGTTGCTAAATAAAGTTGGGTACCATTTAGAAAAAATACAAATATTGTGTCTTCAAAACATACTAGCCATTTTTGAATCACTTGCTCGAAGTGCGTATGATGATGTTGGCTACCACCAGTAAATATGAATGACATCGTCAAACCATGCTAGTATTCAGGAGCGATTGTGCTTCGTCATAACAGAGGATATAATAGTCAGGCTATTTAGGTAATTGGACGTCAAATATCTCAGTGTGATTTTCCACATTGTCAATATATCCTAGTATAGCGTTATACGGTCACTGGCAAAACTAACAATAATTCATTACTCGTACACAAAATTAGTACTCTACATAGAAAAATGAACCGGTGTACAAGTGCAAGTCATTCATGTCACAAATATACAAATATTTTATTCAAACAATCTCTTCTGCATTGAGTTTATATGCGTACGCTTGAAATCCTTGTTTAATGAATGTTAATAGTTCCTCTACAATTATGGCGTCTTCCTAAACGATGGCGTTCGGTGACTAACGAAGTGACAAGGTGATGCAGAAAGAAATTGTCTCCACATTTCTATTAATTCTTTCAGTCCTCAGCGTAAACATCAAATATTAGAATTGATTCGCATGGCCGGTAGACAAATATTTAGAATGAGTATTGCTGCTGCCGTTGTTGTCTTGTCTGTAATTACCCATACTTCCTTATTTTGACACTTGTTATAAAAATCGGTATATTGGTAGGCAAGCTTGTGATGGAACTTTGTTTGCATCGTTACGTCAATAATAGTACTAATAATAATAATGAGAATAATCATAAACTACCAATTAACTCTATTATAATGAAGCAAGGCGCTTCTCAATATAGCCACTGTTCCTCAACGGTTCCAATATTTCTTGGCCTCATTTTAACTCGTGGACTCCAATGCTGCTAATATACATCACCGAGGACACTCTCACTTGTGGCAAACCTTTTAATGATCTGTGAGGCAATGCCGACTTTACAACGATTGCCGGAATAACTCTGATTTCTGAATTGATTTCGCTAAACTAATCACTGAAAGCAATATCACGGTATTGAATATAGTGGTAAGTCTAGCCACAGTGAATCTCAAATTAAGGCTCTATCGCTTTATGAATCATTCAATTGATTCTTTGTGGTTTTCCATCCGCTAAACTCAAAAAATGATGAATTACGGATGAAGGTTTCCCTCGGAAATACGCACAAATAGTCTACAGTGATGGGGTTGTAGGATGCAAACCGACATTCTAGCGGGTTTGCTTAACAACTTAAATTATTATTGTAGTTTTAATCATAAGCGTATTAATTACCATGTGCGCCAAAGAAAGCCCTGTATACGTATTAGATAGATATGACGACAAACCTCCAACAGTAAATCAATACCTTTGTCATCGTTTAAGCTTTCCATCTTGGTTTCGTATTTCGAGTTCTGAGTGCTCGCTGATATTTGGAGAATGCTTACGTTGGCCATTTTACGTTTTACTTACGTAAACATTTTATTATCAGTAGTAATATTATTATTTGCCAAAATTATTATCCTTATCAGCAATCATCTACCTTTCTTTGTACACGGAATTCTTTAATTATTATTATTATTATTATAAGCAATTAATATACCATTCGAATATATATATATTTTTTTTTTAATATAAAAATTCAAGCTCGACATTTTGTCATAATGTATTTTTGCTATATTTGTTTTCTTGTTGTTTGTTGATGTTGTTGTGATCACTGTAGTAGAAGCTGTTTTTGTCATTACTATTTATTATTATTATTATTATTAGTACGGTTGTTTAATTGTGGTTTTCGTAATTTAACATATTATCTTACAAGAACATCGCAAGAACGCAAATCATAAATCTCGCCACCACGGGCTGCTTTGTTTCTTGCTTCATATTCGTTTTCTCTCCCAGGTTTTCTGTTTCTGAGCGTTCGTCTTTCTGCTAGAGATGTACAGTGATTAACAGCTAAAAGCTGCGAAAGCGCTACACGATTCCACTCTTCCTCTGTCTGTTTTCACAATACCGTAGAACTGTCGCCTCACACAACCGTCATGACCATTCTATTAGCTCTATTAGCTAGCGTTTCTTATCCTACCAGCCTTGTGTCTTCTAGCCTTAATGGCCAATAAGAATGAGCATCCCTGTTCCTTGCTGAATATATTAGATAGATCACAATGCACATAGACGTAGATGCCCCATCATTTCTGCTATCGAAAGTAAGAGGGAATAGTTCAATCAGAATACATAAGTATCTGTCCCGTACACCTGTACTTCCTAATATTCTCTCTCTTTTTTCTGTCACCTAGATTTTTTTCATTCGATTTTTACAACGGTATCTGAACAGGGTGTTCACAAAGAACGGAAGGCGGTCAACGGTGGCTGACAAGTGGGATGAAAGCGAATGATCAGATAACAGACATCAGTTCACTCTCCGTACCTTTTTCCCTTTTGTTTTTTTTATGGCTCCTCTCGTTCTCAACGTCTGCTCGATCGCGGTGAGCGAGATCGACGCTTTCTGTCGCGCGACCGATCCCGGTCCCTGGATCGGTCTCTTTCTCGCGAGCGATCTCTTCGGTCTCGGCTGCGGTCTCTTCTTCTCCTATCTTTACTCCGGTCTCGTGATCGATCTCTCCGTCGGTCAGTGCGATCACACCGGTCACTTCTGTCACCACGATCATTTCTATCTCTCGAGCGATCCCTCCCACTTCCTCGTTCGCCTCGGTCGAGTCGTTCGCGTGAACGGTCTGCCCGCTCTTTGTCTCGGTCTGCTCCTCGTTCCTTCTCACGGTCGGAACCTCGTTCTCTGCTAGAGCGGTCTCCTCCTTGATCTCTGGACCGATCAGCACCCCCAGCACCGATGCCACCACGATCTCGCCGATCCTTGCTCCGACGTCGCTCTCGTTTTCGTCGCTCGGCCTCCTCGCGCCGCTTTTCGTATTCGACGACGGACTCTCGCAATTTCGAATAGCCCACGTGCTGTTTGCCGCTCAGGTGATCGTCCACCCGGCATTGGGCGTCCCCAATGATGAGGAATGCTCCACAGACGTCGCACACTTCCATTGATTTGTCCTGCTCAAGATTGACTTTCATCCAGTCGTGGTTCGAGCGACTCGCCTGTGCAGAAAGCTGTTGACGCTCCACTTTTAGCTCGTCACAGAGTTTCATCAGGCCTTGTGCCTCCTCAACCTCGCCCTTCGAGCCGAGCTCTTCAATTTTCTTGAGTAGAACACTGATCTTGTCGTTAAGCACCTGGATACGTTCGCCATCCGGTGACTTTACCTCTTTTTTTGCTTCTTGTTCCCTTAGTTCCGCTGTCATGTCGAGACGATGGCGAGCACGTTGTATTTTGCGGTCCACATCTTTCAGAAGGTCTCGACACATATCGATGAACGAGTGTTCGTAGCGTAACTTATAGTCCTCAGATGCCTCCTCGTTAAACTGAATACGCAGTCGATCGTCATGCACACGGGCACACGGGCCCAAGTCAGCTTTGGTATTCGTGAAGAGGTCATGCGGACAGAATTTGATAAGAAAGTGCCGGCAAACATCTTCCTCGGCCCACTCCATCGTTCGGAGCGTCTCGTTCGGGTTGGCATTCCGGTGCCGGCCCATGAGCTCGTCCAAGAGTTTCTGTGCTTCGGAGAGCGCCATGGTGCAGTGGGATAACTGACCACTTGCCGGCAACGACACCACCACCACGGGGCTTCGGTGGTCCAACGGCTGCACCTTAGCCACACTTCTATGGCACAAAATTCCGCTTCTTCTTTTTGATTAAACCAACAACTCGTTCAACCGACTATCAGACCATGAACAAACACTCCTCTCCCTGAATCAACCAAAACAACAAAAATCTCAACAAAGCCCCGCCAGTGACGTAGAAGCAGACGAACTTGAGCCATTTTTTTTGCAAACATGGTTCTTTACGTCAACGTGGCAAACGGTAATATTCTATATAACACCTAGCATTTCATTTCTGACATCACTTGATAGTGACTTAACAATTTTTTCTTCAGTTGAGCTGCACAGTCTTATTTTTTTCCAAAAATTGCTTCTTAGCGATAAGCGCGCCAACATTCAAAAACTCATCCATAGATACTATGTTACAGTTTCCCTCTCCCCGCCTGGAACTAGCCGCACCGCTTGTACAACCGCGCAGGCCCAGAATTGTGAGACTCAGTTGCCATCGAGCAAGCGGCGAGTGCACCTATCGGCCAAGGTGAGCAGGGATTATTAAACAGCGGATTACCAGTGCCAGCAGCGATAGACAGCTATCCATTTCCAACGCAACAGCGGCGGAACAAGGAATCAAGATCGTCAGACGTATTGCGTGCCGACGCGCATATTGGCTGTATCGGATTTTCGCGCAGGATCGAGTAGTAACAACATCGGCGGCGGTATGCCTCAAACCCCACAATCGGAGTGCCGGCTAAAGGGTGGACACCCGCCTGCCGGTTAGTAAACGTATATGCAAATGTCCACTATATTTGGTTTACTGACGTTGTTATTGTTGTGTGCGGCGCATTCCTGCAAGAATGACACGGGCTGACCAAAATGTTTAGTTTTCCATTTGACGAAATGCTTTCAGCAAATGGTGTCATGATTTGATGCTTGTTGACAATGGATATTGCTTACGGCGATTCTAATGGCAGTGTTTTGTCCGAATATGGCCATATAGAATGTGCGCATCCAACTGCGTAATTTCCCAAGTGCAGCCTGTAACCAGGGGCCGTGCATGCGTTTTGGCCCACATCTAACGGAGGGCATCGTCAGTATCGCGCTATAATAGCCTTTTGCAGTTACAGTATTTATTAGCTGCTTACGAGAAGCTCATAACACAGCAGGATGTGCTTTATATTTACCGTTTTTGCGTTGCATTTCTTCGACTAACCGACGGAGCATAAGAATAAATTAATCAAATGTTCTTTCGTGCGTCAATCGAATTAAATATTGTGTGGTACTAGTTAATGATCGTAAATGTTTTCATGTACGAGCTTGTTGTTACTATGAGCCTTGCGAATGTATTAAGCCTAGTTGGTCATATTTGTCAGTTATTTCCGCCAATTTAGTGTCACAACGTTATGTGCATGCTCCATATGGTGGCTGGAAATTGTTTCATATTTTATCTCGGTAGGCTGATACCCTACTCGTAACTAGCTCTGTCCAACACCAATAGGGTGGTGGATACTGGAGATAAGGACGGGGTTTTTCCTCTGCGAACGTCATAACACTGTTTGCTTTCGACGTGACACCCAAAATATAGACCGCTGTCGTTTGTCGCAACTCTAATGAGAGTCCATTGGCTGGCTAAAGTTCGCCGACGTGAACAACAGCGCCTTTTGATCTGTTACGGCTGTTACTCATGGCAGCTGTAGCGGGAACCAATGCTGAGTTTTACATACGATATCGCCGTTAAAATATGTTATGGCTACTGGCTGGCTCTAGTACGATTAGTTGGCCGGCCGTAATGCGTGTAATCCCCTGTAAAGCTACGTTAGCGATCTATCTATAGCGTCTCAACGACAGCATGAAAACAATTAACAATGATATATTACAGAGGGGAACAAAATTAAAACTAGCAATGGCCAGTGTTCGTGACAGTAGCCCGAACGAGTAATAGCGAATAGGGAAACTGTGAAATAGTCGGATTTTTCGCTTGGCTCTTCAAACCGCTTAATGTCTTGAACCGTATGTGTTATTATTGAAAGCCTGTTTGTGCGAAGGAGTTGATCCATTTATTACGACGCTTTGGGGTCCAATCCACACCAGATTTCGCTATAGAAGTAGTACTGTAATTGAGCTCAGCAGCGCTTACATAACGTGTGATTTCGCCTGCTTTGCCTTCTTCACTTGATCCCATTTTTATTTTTTGTAAAAAAATCCTGCTTTACTTTAGACTAGTATAGATACGACCATATTTTTTAAACATTGGATGATAGTCAGGTTTAAACAACAAGCCTTATAAATCGGTGCCGTAATGGGCCGCCATTAGTCACAGAACTATTTCTCTTTACCATCTACGTTTCATTCAACATACGACAATATAAGCATCGCCTAATACAACACGAGTTCAGCTGCAGCCATGCTTTCAGCAGATATACATATATATACATAATAGCAAGCAAGAGTGGTAGAATTTTAGTTAGTAGCAGAATTTCTTTTTCTGTTGTTGTGGATTTTCTCGAGAAACTTTCTGCACCTTAGTAGCAGGTTATCCCCGTCCCCGATGGTGACGCAATTTTTTCTGTCAACGTTTAGTTTTTAGTGGTACAAAGAGCATCTCTGACATGCTCATAGAATGAACTGTTTGTTCGGCTTGTCCTCGTTCTGTGCTAATGGTGCTCTTCCGGCGAGACCAGTGTGATCAGCGTCTTTGGCTAATCGCTTGGTGACGGCGCCGTTCGGCGTTTTATTCGTTGTCGGGGCTGATCTTTTTGAGGCTCCTTGTGAATTTGTCTGTCTTGCGGTACTGCCATTGCTTGTTCATTTCTGCCCAAGGCGAAACAGCAGCTGTTGTGGCAGAGAAGCGCACATAAAAAAGAGTGTTTAATAACATAATAACAACAACCCGCCAATGGAAGAAACACACGTTTTGTTTTTGGCAAACGGCAAAAACGTCAGCAGCAATAACACGCAACCAATTTCTGGACGCGTCCAGTTCGTTCTTGTCGGTAACAGTAGCAAGCTGCTCGAACCGCTTCTGGGGACCTGTTGATGCGGTCTTTATTACAATCGTTTTTCTAAATGGGCAACTGATCAAACTGCGCATGTATGTACATCGTAGTCTCTTCGAACAGCAAAGGAAGCGGATAGCCTGGATAAATGCAAACGCTAAGCCAGTGGCTGTTTTAATGCAGACGCTGTTCTATTTGCCACATGCTCTGACTGCAGCCCACTAGTAATAATATCAGTATTATTAGTCCACAACTTAAATGACATACTTCGAAATGACCAGCGCTGTGCGTGGGAGAGAAATCTATTTTTGCGGAGTGTAATTTAACGTATTTTAACGAGTTTAGCATATTACTCGGTTAAATGCAGAGGTACCTCAATAGCTTTCGTTTATTGCGGAAGTTCGCTGATTAACAAATGAGTAAACGATATATTGAGATATATAGAGAGATTTGCAAAGAATTGTTTACTTTAACACGCATTGAGATATTAAACTCTGCATCAGTATAACCTATAATTATATGATATTTAGAAAAGTTATACATGTAATAATAAGGGAAATTATACATATTAATTTCTCTCTATAATCCACAATCAAACGGAACTAGTACGCTTATGCACCAAGGAACGATCTGCTTCATAACAAATGAGTAGGTCGAACAGGGTTTGTGCAGGCCTTAACCCGATAGTTCACAATAGAGGTAAAATGTATTGAATACAGCTGATTAGTAATAGGTTAGATCCGATAATAATTAATCGTATTTCCAGTGAATTTTATATTGATATTATTTTTCTCAGCATAACCATTCAACTGACTGGGTAACCTTTTATTTGGAATAAAGACACAATAATAATATTCTAGTGCCGCATGATATGGTTTGAAACATCTGTATTGTTAATTTCTTCCCTGTGTATCTACAGCCATGTCCTCCGGGTTCCATCATAGCTTCGCTAATGAAGCATGCAGAATATTGTTTATGTTCAGAATAGCAAATGTTTCTAAATATCTACGTAAAGTAAGCTGAGAGAACGCCGTAACAATATGAGTGCAAAAAACACACTGCAGTATGTGTTAGTCACAGATTTACGAACTGTTGTGACATACAGGAAAGGTAAACAACATTGGGCATAATTCTGGACAGAAGTGCCATCATCGATTCGGCCTCATGCATATGCTATACTATCTTTGCTGCGGAAAGTTAGAAGTGATCGTCGGGCAGGCAATACGCTGTTGTTATCAATCATTGACAGCCAATCCTTTGGATATTTTCAAAATGTGGTACCGTTCATATATTAGTGCCTTATATAGATTAGAGAGACGTCGAATGTTTTGGACAGACACTGCTAATTATGTCATGGTAGAAGTTAACAATTTTGCGTGTAACACACATCGTCTTTTCCCCGTGATAGTCGTAGAGGCTAATGCTGACTTATCAGGCAAAAGAAAACGCCAGTGAAACCTAATTATAATGTTTTCTTAACCATTTATATGATTCATTATTACTATTATTGAAACCTACGTAGTATATATGTAAACAATCCCTAGCGGTCTTTCAATGCGCGAATCGCGATAGCAATGAATTAATGACTTAATATGGCCATTGTTTACAAACTGGTGGGGTGAAGTGTCGGTCTCGTAGGTAGATGCTCAACTAGCAGACGAACAGTATGGATGCTATTGTTGAAACAAGCAGTTAGATGGTCGTGCATTACGCCGATATGGCGATTTCGAAGAAAGCCAATTATTCCGTACCTCGTTTGATCTCATAAAAGACTAGCTAGCCTTCTAGCTCCCTAGGCAAAGCTCTGCGTCATTCGGATGCGAGAACGCCAGTCACTGGAGCCTTGACAGCAATGATACTAGCAGCAATCACTGCACCATATCACCAAGGGCAATATAACGGCTGACAGTAGTTCGGGGTATATACTGATCTGTCAGCATCAAGTAGTAAGCAGTATCTGAACAAGTAATGTAAAATCAATCAACAGTATGTGCCTCAACTTTATAGTTTTTTGTGCGAAAAAGACATCGTCTGTCTCACAGATTACGCATCTGCCAAGCGCATGCGCTAGTAGCTGACCATGCAGTCGGGCAACTACAAATTGAATCCGGTGAATTGTCGTAACCTTGAGCTGAAGCGCTTGTGTTGGTATTATTTGAATTTCACTTACAGATGTGAACTATTTCATAAACTTAATTACCTCGATATCTTCACTACTGAAGCTTACGTGTACATGTAACTGAATACAAAATGTTCTGTACGACCTATTACAAAACATTGCTAATCTATATTCACGATTAAGAGCAAGCAACGTCATACAACGAGAAGCTTAGAAACATAGGAATTGCATCGGCCTCTCAGCGCAAGATACGGCTCATCGACAAGTGTCAACCAAATCACAATACCCAGATATTTTTGGATTGATCATATAACAATGGTTTAGGAGAGGGCTGAATTTAGGCCTGCTATTTTACCCCTCGTACTCTCGCTTTTGCAGGATGACTGTGATTGTGGCAGCTGAAGTCTAACGTGCCTTTGGATCGAGCATGATCATCAAAAAAACTTGCCCTTTGATTATAGCGTTACCATGAAGTTCCCGGGAATCGGCGTATCCAGTCACAAAGCAACAGAAAGTGCCATTGCCTCTATATGCCCGAATTGGCGTAATTTCTTTGCTTTTGCTGTGTACATTTTCGTCTAGTTTTATATTCGTATTGAGAGATATCAGGGTGTATTGAGAAACGCACACGGTTTGTGCTAAGCAATGAGAAGTTTGTTGAAGCCGCAAACGAGACCACTGGCTTTGTTTAGCCAATTATTAGCTCTCTGAAATCGAGCTTACGAAAATGCTGAATATGCAGAAAAATGAATGCTCCCCAAACGCCTGTTTACAATAATATATATTGGAGGGCAGTGTTGACGCTTGTTAAGGTGTCCTGAAGGTGCTAAACAAGGACAATAGGATCTATAGGATAGGATCATTCCCATTTAGCACAACAAACGATAGAGACGGTTCCTTCGAGCTTCTCGGTATCTTTCCCGTTTGTTGGTATGTTGGACGACGCTTACTGAACCTTAGCAGAGATCGTGGAACAGGCCTTCAAGGTCGTTTAATCACATCCGGCGTAAGAGACGGAAGTAAGTGTTTAATTGTTTTAACTGAAGTATTTACGTGTGGGCATTTACAATTTATAGTCAAGTAAAACACTGATTATTCTTCATCTGCTCACACAATATTATATCCCACGCCCTGCAGAGCGTGTGACGTTGATCAACTTATGTATCAATTTACGTCGCAGAATTCTTCTGATGAACTCTGTTTCGTTGGGCTACAAATATTAATTACTTAAAAACGTTGTTTTTTTCCTTTGTTGTCAAAACAACGTATCAAAAACGCAAAATTTTACATAACAGTGCAGACAGTATAGTGATTCGGTGCGTCATTGGTGGTTGGAAAGTATTCGTAATAGCATAACTTGATTTCTATTCTAAGCGAAAGTTTGCGTTTCGAAGTAGTTCTGTAGCATAAATAATGTTTTTTAAAAAGATGCAACAATTTTTTAATTCACGGTACTAATAAATAAGTTATTCTCTATTTCCTTCGTAGTTAAAGCTGGCGCCATGAGGATTACCCAGCACAAGCCCGAACGAGAAGCATCAGGTCTTTCAACGCACCCGGACTCAGATGAGGCGCTCATATCTGTATCGCCGCCTAAGAGTAATCAAATTAAACAGATCATCAATGGAGTAATTGTCAAGGTAAAATCATGTTAACAATTACTTTACTATTAGGAGCTTCAGATTTGATATCTAAAACTTGGGTAATTTTTTATTTGTGCAGTTGCCTGATTTCTTACCAGAAACGACCGCTTTGAGCGCAAAACGCAACCGCTATGTGCTTTAGCCTAGATGGCTGAAACTATGATGAGGTTTCGGATGGTTCTGCAGGATGTTGTATAATTTTCGTTTGAAATAGCACTTTATCTGTGCAGAGTTTTACAACCTATATTTGAGCCTTGCAAGAGCTTGATTTATGTGAATGACCAACGTGTTAGATTGACAAGAGCTAGGATGGAGTAGGACGCCCTGCTTGGCCAAGTCAACGTGTGAACGTGCCATAGGACTCGATTCTGTTGGTACTATGGGTGGCTTGGATGCCGAGAGGTGATTTACCAGAAGTTTACCCGACATTTTGGTGCCTTAGTTTAGAGCTCGACTTAATCCACATCTGGTATTATGCGATTCCTGTTATATGATGCGGTCGGTATGAAAATCGTCGTAAGTAGGTGGATCGTTTAGATTTGCGCAAACATCTATTTGGCTTTACGGTGAATGTATTACGTGCGATTTGGAAATGCGGATCGTCGTTGCGCGTATTTACTTTACTAAAATACTAGGGTAGCTTTCATCTACGTCTCACACACCATCACATCTCATTTAATGAATCGTAAATTCAAAATGGATATTGCAATTATTCTAAGGACACGTTAGGTCGTAAGCATGTATATATCGAATAACCAAAAATGCTGTATGTTGCTTGTATTGAATAAGAATTTCATTTGCTTGTCGGATGAACTCGTAATCAGTTTGTTTCTGCTCTATATTGTAGGGTGATGCCGATTTCCCAGCGGACGCGGTGAAGGCATTCCACGAAAGTAAGATTCACCCAAGCCACGAGTACCGACAGGGAAGCCAAAGCAACTACGCTAAGCCCATGATGATTCAGCAGCCGCGTAAATAGATGTCGAGCTGGAAAAATAAACAATAATAACAATATCAGCAGATGGATATCTAGAAAATCGGCATAAAAAAGGAAAAAAGGTCAAATAAAGAACTGTACGCAATTACGAAGAGAGCGTGACGAATAGAGACAATAAGAGAGAGCGACAGAGAGACAGAAACGGAGGACAAGTGGGAAAGCGGGAGACCCAGCGCGTGTGCCAATGGAGTCACCAGATCGATCTCTCAAAAGGAGGAGGAGATGACCGTATAGTAACAACTAAAATAATGTAAAGACGATAGGGGGAAAAAATATCTGCAGATAGTCTTTCGAAAATGGAAGATTCGGAAGGACAAAAGGCATAGCTAGCAGCAACTCAAGTATGCTGCTCACCTGTTTCTTATAAGAGGACTTCCGGCGTCGCAAGTCGAGCCAACGCGTCGAATAGATTTAGCAAGCAAGCTCAGAAAGTGCTCATCCAGACCCCTAAATTCAGGAGTGCTCTTGTTCCACTCGGGAAGCGTCAAGCGAAAACGGATGAAAATGCTATTCACAATCGTGATATTATGTGCCCGGCCAGCACAGTACGGAATTGGTCTCTATGCAAATTTCTCCCACCGGTGACAGTACATATTAAGCTATTTGTTTGAAATATTCAATCGCAGAGCTATTCACTGAATTTATAATATATTTATGCACTTTCAAAATGATGCAGTAACAAAAGTGCATAATAAAACTTACATAATCCACAACATAATATTATGAGCTTGGTCGTTCTCGGAAATATGTTTACTGTGCCCACCGAGCAAGACATGATTATTATTTAAGGTGGAGTATCCGTTAAAGAAATGCATTGGATGATGAATTGATTACGGTCTATTCCATATGAACCTAACTTGGACAGCCCTCGTCCGTTCTCGTTAAACATTATAATACTGTTTTCGGTAAACTGAACAGTAAAAAAAAAAACTTCACGAATTTTTGAAGATTTAATGAGAAAAGCACTAATCTACTGACACGTAAGTGTTGCAGTTTCGTTTGTAGGGAATATTGGCGACATGAAAATAATGATAAGAACACATGATACTCCCAACTAGCAATCGTAGATGAATATGGACTTCCATGTATTAAGTCGAAAATTCTCGAGGCGTCGGAACTCGAAAGGATAATGCAAAAGATGTTTCATACTGAGATCAGCAGGCCGTGTTGAAATGACTATACATTTGGGTAGTTTTTCATCGTTGACTCCATTTAGATATATGCTCGTACATAATGGCAGACAATCAGGATGTGCGATACCACAACAACGAACGACTGCAATTGGTTGCAGAATTCTAGTTTTGTATTACACCACGACAACACCTGGATACCGTCTCATCTAACACATGCGTACAGCTGAAGCAAGCAAAAAAAGGAGCATTAGATGGGCTGCAAGGGCCTCTTTGGAATCAACTATCGCCAATTAACGAGGCGGTAAACTAAATAGGTAACTTAAGCGGCCCTGAGAAATCTTTATTGAGAATTTGATTGCTCTTCCGCCAATAGTGCAAGAATGAATAAAAAAGATGCATTTAAAACTGTGCAACATCTGATAAAAACTTTTGTCGACAATATGAAAGCAGTTTCAGGAATTAATTTGTTTGCTACTAAATAGAGATTCGTGCTTTAAAACTACGATAGTTTTTTGATCGGAGGGACCGACATGTGGCCGATGGAAAAAAGATACTAGAAATGAAAGCAGAAGAAACTTTGTAATTATTGGCTTGGTATAAATGTGGATTGTGCGGGCCGAGGCTTATAAATGGTAGGCTAAATGACACCCCTCAGCTACTGCGCAAGGTTGAGGATGGCGAGCTGATAACCAATTACCTCGGCGTCAAAAAGATGATAAAGAAAACTAGTGCAAGCGGCGAAAAATGGGCCGGGTTCAGCGCGGATGCGTTAGTCGGTCTTTGATGAAAAAGTCTCATGTGCAAAAAACAAAAAACCAATGCTGCTAACATAAAATAAAACCGATAACAGTTATCCTCACTACAGTTGTACTGAAGTTTAAAAGGTTTAGATTATACTTCGTATAGGGGCGTAAAATCATCGAAGGAACCTTAGATTGAATATAATCAGTGCTGGTGATTATAGTTATAATGATGATATAAGCTAATTGTGAGACATGTTGGTAGACGGCTAGCTAGCAACAAGAAAAGTAAACAGGAAAATGTTACGGTAAGCTTAATCCCCCTTGTATCACGTCACATTTTCATTAAAACGAACAGTTCACCTTAGCTTCGTCTTAAATCACCGATTTATTATCAGGTCAGGGTGCACTGGGTGCAGGGTATACAAAAATCTTCCGTCGTCCTACAACTTTAGATTCATAGGTTCAATTTTATGCCGTAAAGGGACTTGGAATGGGTCAGGGCGACGCCTATCATTTGTATATATATTCCAAAGCCCATAGCTATGAGTTCGAGATGTTTAAGCTTTTACAGCACAGCTGGTTCGAAAATCTTAGTTCTGCTTGACAAAATCAGCTAGTTTCTTATACTGATTAGCGCGTATGCCTAGATCCCATCCCCGGCAATAAATACAAAGTCCTTCAGATGATTTAGCCGAATTTAACCGATCCTTACACGGAAATCAAATAACCTATCTTATTTAGTGGTAGAATATTTTCCTATAGAGCAGTAGAAGAAATATTGATATGTATCAACGTGTGTCACAGAAATGTTTGTTACAAAAACAGTTAACCGAGTTTCAAGGTACTAAGGTTTTGAAGAATTTAAAAGGTTGTGGGATCTATCTCATATGCTTCATCTTTGATACTTCCAGCAATTTGCCTTTTTTTATGGATTCTTATAACGCTTTTTCCTCTTTTTTTTCATTCCGAATTAAATATGTGGATACATTTAGCATAGAATAACTTTGGGCTAATGAGTAAAAGTGCACCGTCAACTTTTCACTGTAGAAAATCTACTTTATTGAACGATGAGCAGGCTGTTCGGCTTTCTTTTTGAATTTAATAATTAAATTGATTTATTTAACTATTTTAAATCTTCTGTCGGAGCATTCAGAGACCACCGTTTATGTTCTTACGTAGAACGTAAATTGCATTTGATCTGTTTCTATAGTATTTTTATTAAGCTTGCACGCCTTTTTCAGCGCCGCAGCACTAAGTTCCTGTTGTCACACACGTAGTTATTATCGCATTATTTAAAACTAAGCGCATTTATTATTATTACTAATGCGTCAAATATTTGTCGCCGTTCATTCGCAGCGTCGCAATAGCAGTAATAATCATCGTTATGGTAATATAAAGATAAGGGACAGAATCCCAATTCATGGACTAGAATTAGAGCGCTTAGGTGTTTTCAGCAGAGAAAAAACAATTGTCTTGTGAGTAGGTTTTCTATGTATTTGTATGTGGATACTAATGTGTACCGCGTGGGCGATGAGGTTCCATAGAAATCAAAATCATGTGTCTTATCATCTCTGAAACGAACGAAACTCGAGAGGTAACAAGGTTCTTTATCTTTCCATAGGCAATCTCCATTCAAGCGTGAGGGTATACATGTATTCTATATGTAAATATAATTTACTGTAACTAAAGCAAAAAAGTAATAACAGATTATGAGAAATATGCCGTAATGGCATCTTGTATATATATATATATTTCCCCCATTTTGTTTTGAGTAGTGCGGCTATATACAAACGATGTATGTATTTAATACAAGAAACTGCAGCGGGAATTAGTTCTGTCTTAAAATGACGTTAAACCGGAAAAATGACCTGGGTAGATTTCGTCGTCCGAAGAAAAGCCCCAGGATAACAAAGACGCGTACTTTTTGAAATAGTAATATAGTTAATTCTCAGAGTGGGAAACATGTGCTGAGTCTGTATACATGGCTGTATCTTCATGTGGAAATATATAGGTATGCTTAGATCGCATTGCTTAGTATAAATTATCGACTTGTTATAAACCAGTGTTCTAATTAGATTACAATTTTTTGTTTTTACTTCTTACTGCAGATATCAAAACCCGAGAATTTATATTAGGTTCAAGAATGAAACGAAAATTAATAGCTATTGTATGGTTTTTAACACGTGAATCTGCAAAAGAAAAACAGCCCTACATCTTTGTTTGTAGAAGTGCTTTAAAATATTTTAATTACGTTACGCATTAACTGATCCTTTTTAGTTGCGTCTGAAGTGAGTCTAATTACATCGTTACCGTAATTGTAATTCATTTAATACAATACAGATGTGCTCACCAAGGCCATTTCACCTTGATCACGAAACATTAAGAAATTAAACGGCTTGTAATTTATTAGAAGGGTGGAATCTTGTGTTACTACTTTTTTCAACAGTCTCTCTACTCTAGTCTTAAGCGTATTTGAATAGGTTTTATTTGAACTTCTGCTGAGGGTGCATTTTTGACAAGGTTAAAGTTTTCGCTTGACATAAAACGCATATGTAAGCTATTGACTATCTAGAAACATATGTTTACTATACAAATTCGTTCGCACAAATCAAATGATGAGTTATTTGGTACACTACGAAGCCTCCTGATTCCCTTCTCTCAATCTCCCTCTGAGAAGTGCATTTCACAAAAGAGCCATTAATCTTCGTACTGCTCCTTATCATTAGTAGTATTACTTTTACCATCATTAAATTATCGTTATGAACAGCAATGCAGCGCTGCTCTTAAGAATCGTACAAAAACGTAGTTGTGCTTTTGTTTCCTGTTCGCACAGGCTTTGCAAAATTCAAAATGACGATACTTTATATATATTGTATCTTGCTTAGATTTAAATTTACATATCGTTACATGCGTCCTGCCATTTTGTTTATAATACAACGAAATCATGTGGCGCATGGTCTCGAAACCGAGGATAATAACCGACCAACTTAAACCTGAATCAGGGTTGGTCGTTTCATATGCCTAAATTTTGTTGAATATTTGGCATATTAAAACATAGTTTTTCAAAGTCTCCTTTCCATCTATAATATACTAGAGAAATGGTAACTTCGACAAACGTACTCATTCCCCAGTCAATCGATGACTATAAGACGCTATTAATTATCCACTGAAATTTTCTTTATGTGTTTCAGCAGAATGATACAGGACAGACACCTTCTTGGTAAAGCAAGACAAAGCTAAGTAGAAACATAACAGGAACAGGTCAAAAAGATGAGTGCAATTCTAATCGTGGATCTATTGATCAGGGTCGTGCGCGTCTTAGACAGTTGTATGGTTAAATAGATAACGTAATTTGCGAAGGATCGGCATTTATTTGTAGTAAAGCGATGGCAAGGTTCAGTGTTGTATTCTTATATGAACGTGTGTCCCTCGAGGGTCAAGTAATTGCTTAGAATATACCTTTCATATCTTCATCGCTTTGATAACCAATGTTAATAGTAATGACAGTTAACAAGGTAGTCTGTTTATCCAAAACATAATGGCACGCACCGTAATCATAGAGTTTTGTTGTTCTATTAAACAAGTGGCTAATTCTTTCTAACACACAGAGAACGGCTAAAGATGCACCGATCCAGAGCCACACTCTGTATGTATTGACGGTCGTTTTCTTACGTATGTCCTGCTTAGGTCCTTGCTCGCAGAGGGAGTCTAGCTTACCTAGCGGTGTTCCATTTGCTCTTGCAGTTGCTATATCTGAATTGCTTGTTATAATTGCTATATGATGAACTTATGTTTTGCTTTCTGCTGCTGCTGTTGTTGTTGTTGTTGTTGTTGTTACGCAGTGCTGGAACCAGGGGTGCCACTAATGAAATGGAGAACCTCGGACGAAAGCCGCTTGCTCGAAGATGATAACGTTGATCCGTTTGATGAGGTCTCGCACTCTCGCGAATCCGCCGTTGAACCGCCAACGGATGGCTGTCGAAGAAACAAAAGAGAACTTCGTATGACCTATAAGCATAGTATATATACCTACTAATATCCTGTGTGATATAAAAGTATTACGTTTTTTCATCATCCAGTTAGCTATCGATATAGGTGTGATAACGATAATCAGTGAAAGGTACCCTTTGGTTATTGTCACCGTGCTGTTGAATATCGATGAGTTGTCGAGCAACATTAGCGTGGTTCCTCCTTAACTGTTGATGGTACTCCATCTGGTCAGATGAAATTAGTTTGCCGTTTAAATCGAGCGCTGCCTGACAGGAGGTCAGGAAGCGGTCAAATGTTTCTCGCAGCTTTTCTACTTCAATGGATGGTTGATTCACTACCGCAGACGGAGTGAGGAACGCTCTTGCGTAAGCCAAAGGGCCCGCATTTACCTATAGCGGATATTGATATGGGTCTTAGATTACGTAAACTTACGCACTTCCGGTACAAAATTCCTGTCCAACAGTTTCGGAGGCCCTCAGAAAATGTATATGGCAATTGTATCATAATACACCACAAAAAATTGCATGCTAATTAGATATTTAAACTTTTCAACATCCCTTACTCTGAAGTAAAGGGATTGTTAAGTTCGAGCGGCAACCTAAACATTATTTTTTTAAAGTCAGATCTCCAGGACTCTTGGTTCTCCACTAAGATTAACCGTGAATAAGACACGTTTATGCTTCATCGAATAAACCAGAGAAAACTACAAGGTACGGCACCTAATTTGGGTGAAACTTTTGCTGGCATATTGTCGTAACCGATTTGCTCTTGTCCGCCATTTCTAGTACTAGGAAGAAGCCTATTCTTTCTACAGAAAACTCGTAACTAGAGTTATTATCCAATCTCTTAGCGAACAAGGAAAAGCCATTTTTGATACCTATACTTTTGACATGGAACATTGACATGAACTGGGTCGTTCAGATAACGATCGTTATTTTTGCGATTTTTGCATTTTGGACTTTTTGACCGTATTAAATATCTGTATTTTTTTGTAATTCTGAGTCTGTGGCCAGTCCAAAATATTATTCTGTTGGACTCTATTTGAATGACATTTAAACTGATTTGCAGTAAACATATAGTGTAATATATGGTAATTGTTACCGCGATTAACTTTGTAGAAGTTGAGTGCAGATTAATGATAGAATATTTCGAAAATGATTCGTGAGTTATTTAGGTTTCTAATTGCGGCTGTAGTCACAATGGATGACGATCTTATTAGATAAAAATGACCGTCATGAATGTCACTTCTAAGACATACAAAAACATCATTAAAATACCTGTCTTTACTCAAATATATTCGTAGAAACGAACAATTAGAAAAGCTTCCAATGCAGGTGCCGTACCTTGGACAATAAATTCGCCTGGCTTCAAAAGGGAACTAATCTTTCTATGAAATTACAAATTGTGGTGGTTGAAAGCATATAGAGTGTTCCCTTTTACCTGCACGCTGATGCTGCCTTGTAGTTTAAGTTGTAGTTTCTTCACATCCGGAGGCTTCTTGGCTATAACTTGGTCGAGCTCAATCACACGTGTGCGCATTTCGTCAACCGCTACTTCGATCGGACTAAGATCGAATGATTTGCGGCTGCGTACAGCAATGCGTTTCTTCACATAAGGGAAACGGTACTCGGCTGAAAGGTTTAGATTCGGCCCAAACCTTACTATGCATCCATAAATCTATTACATTTACCATATTAAGAGCTAGTTGGGTTTCACAATCATCGTAAACGTCACCACAGCCGCATGGAATAACGTCTGACACATTAAGCGAGATAAAAGTCATAATCTGAGTTAAATATGCATGCTTATTAGTTTCTAGACTTTTAAATATTTTCAGGTAGTATGTGGCTAAGTAACTCCTAATATGCTTTTTCTATGCAGCCAATGAGTATGTAACTATTTTGGATCTGAAGATTAACTATGATCTAGACGTATACTTCAGTTTAAACATGCAACGTTCTGATCCGGAGTCACACTGTATACTGGGGTGGAGACGCAGTACCATTATGCCACCAAGTCCTGTTCACATGGGTACTATAGCACCGGGATGAACAAATCTGGGTATCTTTGAATCGTATAGATCACCTAGGTGACTACGTGAGCTAAACATAAATCGTCACAACAAAATAGTATGATCCAGTTTCAGACTGCCCCGAGCACATAGTAATGAAGGTGAAGTATTGCTCACTGGTAAGTACTGTACGACGTCTACACTGTTCGTGCGGTTCGCCTCGCGCTTTGCCCCCCGTTAGCGTAAACGGCGTTTCGAACATGAACTCGTCCACGTTGTGGTGCCGCTCAAAATCGGACATCTCCACATCCGCTGACTGCTCACCGAAGTAAGGCGTCACATGCGTCACCTGAATGTACGCACACTTCGGATCAAGCTCGCTTACCTTCACCTGCAAAATTGCACGTAAAAAATCTAAATCCATTGCTACTGATTAACTTTGTTCGCACAAGGATTACAAAATCACAGAGATCATAACAAGCTTTTTTCCTGTAACCCAAAGGAAATTCAGTTGTATCGACAACAAATATAGGCTAATCTTACTGCCAGTGGTTGATTTAGTTACCTGGCTCGAATCCATAATCATCTTGACTACATCGGACGAGCCAAATTTCTCGACGAACAAGTGTCGGAGTCGCTCCGAGATTTCCGGTAGCGACGTAACCTTGGGTTCTTTATAGATGTATTCTTTCTGATCCTCCTCTCCGAAGAACGCTTCGCCGAAGAACATGACTCGATAATAGGTACCAAGCAGTCGCCGTCCGGAAGTCTCCACTTCGATAATTTTTTGGCACGAGGCATGCAGTGTCTTGTAGCACTGCGCGAGTGCTTCGTAATTCTTGTTCCGTTCGTAGAAGGGAATACAAAGCATGAACACCTTTGACATTAGCTCATACCTTTCTGCCTGGTACAGAGCACTGGCGCATTGTTCCAGCCTTTCGACCAGCGATTCCTCACTGTACGGGAAGTCGTGCGTTCCGGTGTCTTCTTTCAAATTGCTCTCATCGCGAACGACGTTGGGCGAGATGTCCTTAAAGGCATGGCAGCCTTGCGGGAAGACATTCTGGTGCTTGAGAAATTCTGCCTCCAGGGCCGCTACATGGATGAGGCAGTACGCTGCTTCTGTAAGGTTACCATTACGCTCGTGTTGTCGCGACATGGCCTCGAGCCACGTGCGCCGTAATGCCGGCGTCGCACTATAGCTGTTTGCCAGACGCAACTGGAGGTCGAGTAGCATCTCAGGATCGTTTTCGTGCTCTCTCATAGCAGTCGTCGCCATCAGCACTGTGCGAACCTGTGACGCGTATAGAAACGTTAGATATAAGCCTAAAATTCGCACAAGTTTTCTCCTGATCACGACTCAAACTCAGCACCAGTGCCACGTTATGGCAGTACGACGGCACCTGTGCCAATTCTGTGGTTCATAAGAAAAAAAGGACGAAGTACCAAGACTCCCGTCAGTCCAATGGGAAGCAGCTAGGAGATAGGTAAGAGCGGCAGTTACGAGAGATAAGACGGGCCGGCTAACCTGATTATGTTAGCAGACAGCTATTGGGACTCGTGGAAAGCACAGTCACGATTCTTTTCGGTACCCGCTGTTCAATGAGCGACCCATTGATCCTTGAAATTGACACAATAGTTGATTGCTGCCAAGGCGCCATTTAAATTAATCAGTGAGGCCTAAACAGTTTTCTCTTTCATTTAGCGGACACATGTATAACGACAGCCATTGAGAAAGGAACGATCATTGCAGGTGCCTACGTAGGAAAGAAGGAAAACTATGGCGCTTATATATATATATATATATATAGCATGACTTCTTCCATGAACGAACAAATATTGTGTTTTACTTTTTTTGTGAGATCCTTGACTTGATTGGGGAATATAGTATGTTGCATGGCCTTGTCCGCGGCTGCGTAGTTGTTGATAACCGACAATGAATCTTGGAAGCGTGCAGAGTTCAGATTAGTAATGTCGCCTAACAATCGGGATACCGACACTATTAACTGAAGATGCACCTATAAGTAGTTTTCAAAGCAATGATTAGTTAATGTATGTTCTGCTCTAGTGAGCATAATACGGGTCTGTTGTTAAATTGACCAATCGGCTACAGTTTGCGTATCCTCAAATATCCATCAGTATCCGAACTGGTACAAGCCAGTTGTGACTGAAGACCACTGTTGTTGGGTCTGTCCGTATGTTTACCTTGAGTTACATATCAGTATTACTTCCCACTATGAAATATAAATACTGTGATGAATAGGACAAGAATCAATTAGTAACCCTTTAATATAATCTGTATTATTTAAAACGTTCAGCTAATAGCAACATACCCTAGTAAGAGCCCTTCGGGACGTATATTCGAAATTAGCTCTCATGAGCAAGTAGAGCAGCGCGCAAGCTTCCATTCTTACTGACGACAATTTAGAGTTACAACACCGTAGCAATTCAAAGCACAGTCTCCCGCATAGCAGGGCGCTGCCTGCAAACAGGGCTTGTGGAAATTTGTTTACGAAACCCCGAAAAGCGGCGAACACATGCTTCAGTAGCGTCTCTGATTGGCCCACCTGCAAGCCAAATTGAGCACCATTTGAATTTTACTGGCGCGTTCATTTTTGTTCTAAACTATGTTTATACCGGCTGACTACGTATTGTCCATTTCAAAAGCTTTTTCTTGTAACTAACTTTCTGTATCTTGTGGAATCTGGCCGTAAAATAGATTTCACAAGTTAGGCGCAAATGGTTTTGATTTACCTGTAAAAAGCTGAGGTAAATATCGAAGAGGCGCCGCATCAGCGGATTGTCACCTTCATTATACAACAGCGATTTTTTACAATTGCCACAGAAAAGCCCCAGCACGTCAAGGGTGATTAGGCCAACTTCTGTGGCCATGTTGGCTTCAAGCAGGGCCCGGTACATTCCATTGCCTTCATCGGATTCCCAGTTGGTACCGGCCGATCCTGGCTTAACATAGGCCGAATGTCTCTGGAAGTTCGGCGGATGGGTTCGAGCAGGAAGTGTCATTGACTTCAGATGGGCTGTTGCTGATGCTCGACTACGATGCTGTTTCTTTCCCTGATACTTGAATTGGTGCAGACACAGCTCGAACAAATGAAAGAAATCTAGGAGCTCACTATCCGTACACGTCTGCCACAATCCGATAAGCACTTCTGCAAGTACGACAGGAACAATAAGCTGCTGCTGCTGAGAATACAGGACGAAAAAAGGCCCTTTTCTAATCTGCTTCAACGCAGGTAAGCTGTAAAATAGATAGGATCTGTCATCGTGGTAAATCAAAGGTGAACAAGAGGTTCCTTTTTGAAACAAAGGAGCATGCAAATTAATTTGCTTCTCAATAGAAGTTAGCGCCGTGAAATCGTAAGGCGGGCAAATATAAGCTATCATGCTTCTGTTCTTAAACAGCAATCAAGCTGTCTAACTTCACAAAATTACCTGAATAGTAATCGTATGTACCTATCTGTCCGTCCTGTCTGTCTGTCTGATGGTCCGTGTATGTGTGTCTGTCTGCATGCGTATCTATCTGTTTGTCCATCTGTGTGTCTGTCTTTGCTCAGTTTTCTCACCTTCATGTAGATGCTTGACGATGTAGAGGAAGGAGACGAGAAGATCCTTGACTTCGTGGGCATCAAATTTGTCATATCGTACAACTCCAAGGGAGCCGGCGAACGGCATTGACGGAGAGCGCACATGACCAGTTCCGCCGGTCCCGCCAGGACCGTGAGCTGACAACGAGTGGGTAGGACTACCACTTCCTCGGAGAGTGTTTGATTCTGAGGTCGTCTGAGCAGAAACAGCACTTTCGAGAGATGTCTGCGAACCACTGGACATGGCCGACAAACCGTTGGAAAATGGAGGAAGGGATGCTAAAAAAAGATACATTATTACTGTTAGATATTTAAAGTTGTAGGGTCTCAATATTGACAACTTTTAAATTAAACGAATAAAAACAAACACTTTTAATATAGGCTAAATAAATCTTCCCTATCGCTTGAATATGAAGCCTGTGCTTCGGAGGATACCGTGTCTAATATTTGTGATACCATATCCAATTCCCTCATTTGTTTTTTCGTTGAGCAAATTGTGTTCGTATTGTATAGACTACTAACAGAGTTTCTCAAACAAACTAAAACTACATGAGCTTCAGTCTGTGAATCAGTCAGGAATGGACGTAATCACTAGCCTTTAGAAGCCTCGATTCCAGCCCAAGTAGTAGCAGTCTAGTTTAATGCGGTCTTGCATTGTTATCAAAAAACTACCCTGAATACGAACCTTTTGTTTTGTCAAGCCAAATGTTGACTATGTATAAAAGCCAAGTATTTGCACTACCTGCTTTTCTAATTCGATCTGACGAAGCCTTTAAATAGCGTAACATCAAATGAAGCGCCCGAATGTTAGCATTAACCTTTTGCAACCTAAATTCTCAACAGTATGTTCTTCATTTCAGATACAGTACAACAAATGGGATCAAAGTAAAGCAAGCCAGCTTTACCGACCTTTTGTATGTCTATTCGTTTTTTCATATACTTTTATATTTGCGCTTACCCTGACCAGCGATGATCGACAGGTAATTAGAATCTCGGAGGCTGGCCCTTTCCTGTGCGCTTAGCACGAGCGTGTTTCTTTTCGAGTGCTCGGGAGAACTGTTTTCACTGCCATTTGCTCCACCTGCAGCGAGTGTCACTGTTGAAGAAGCGCACGAACCAGCGTCCGATAAGATTTGGGACGTTCGTCGGGATGCTGCACTTGAGCACAAGGAACTACCTCCCATTGACAGGGAATCCATAGTCGTGATTGATGCAAACACTGAACTAGCCGCCGAAGGAAGGTCAGATCCTATCGCAGCCGAAGGAGGCCCGCCCGAGGTAGCCTGCGGTTGCTGCAGACGATTAATATTTTCCAGAAGAAGCGAGATCACCGGTAGATAAAGTGACGCTATCCGCATCTGCTGTGACTAGGCGCGATAAGCATTGAATCGAATGAACAAACAAAGTGTTATTTAAATAAGTGATTTCAAGCAGACTTACGAGCCCTGCTTTTTGGTACAATATTTAAGAGACCGGAATAAGGCGACTTTTCATATCGGACTTAATACACATGAAACGAATTCTATACTGACATCAAAAAGAGATTTGTTTCTTTTATGCGATTTATGCTGAAGTTAAGCATTTTTTTAAACGCTTACCGAGCCTTGATATCGGTCGTCGAACGCATGTTTGGCAAGTAAGTTGCAGAGCACCTTGATAGCCATTTGGCGCACCTTGAGTACCTCTGAGAGAGCAGCGCGAAGTTCCACAAGAAGGACTCCGACAAGATAGTGCGCCTGACAAAACTCCTCCGTCAGTTGGTACTCGCTTTCAAAATCTGTTGGCGAGCAATTGGCGATATCAGAAACATCCCAATCCAAGATGTGTACAATGGAAAGAGGATGAAAATTACATATAAAACGAATCACACATTAGTTTTTTAAACATTGGTCCATTTAGCTTGTCCGTTTAGTACAGATCAGAACTACTAAGAGGAGTGCAGCCCCAGGAATGAAAATGCACTCGTGCTAAGCATGTAGGAAAACATCACCATTTAGGATACACCCAACTACAGGATTTGTTAATCTTCGACTAGCTCTACAAACGACCTCTCCTAGTGTTAGTTACTCGCACTACGAAAACATGGGAAGACCCATGTCGTCACTGTCACACTGATTTAATGACTGCGCTGATTGATGATACACTTTTGCTTTCAGCAGATTCGTATCTATGGAAACGATCAGTAGTATTACTAAGGGAGAATTTGACTTGAAAAAATCTAAATGAATAAAGACATTTTTCGACGGGAATCAATTTGTTGATGCATTGTAACCCCCATAATGTGACGATTTTAGGAACAGCTAAAACCCTATTGCAACCGCAGTTTACGTGCATTTCTTTTTTGACAGAATAGAACGTCTAGGTAACACAAATGGGCACATTGTGTTACCTAGACGTTCTATTAGCTCGTTCTACACTAGATTATATTGTGCGAAATAAGTTAGTAATTTATATATGCGCGTAGGAAAAACAGTGAGTTAGTTGTAAAAGAAGAAAGAAAAGGGTATGGTTAGTTGGGTGCGTGATTGACGTGTAACATGAATGAACTTGAAAACTTTAAACGCTTTATGCGACCGTTGAAACGTCTTCGGACAGGTCACCATTTCTACTTTTCTCGAATAACTTCACGGCGAAGGAATCAAGGCCAACTTGGCAGCCATTCTACAAATCACATCTTGTCTATTGACATAATCAAGAAAATCTGATTGTTGATAGGCGTGTTTCGCTTCGAAGAAGTTCAACCAAAGCTCTATGTAGATTCAAAGTGCACACGGTGCAACGGCCAAAGCAACCGCAAGGTGGCGTACAGTCATCTGTAACTCCTGTTCTCATGCTAGCACTTCAATTCCATAAAATCGCATCTAGGCAAGCTCTTAGTTTCTATTTGCTTTTTTGTGCGTTCTATTATGCCATTTTGCTAAGGACTGAACAACGGAGTCACTACACTGTGATGCCGGCCTCGTTCGCGTTTGGTAGGTCGTGGGCGTTCCTCAAGGATACCACAAGCAAGGCAGGGCCATTGTGACACATGTTGCCTAAGGGATGCCTTTAAAGATGATCTGTTCTAGGGGTACAGACATTTCATTTCGAGCAAGCTTGTCTTTCAAGTTAACCTATGTAACTTAGCTCTTTGCCAAGACATTCTTCTTTCAAGACAACTCTTTTAAGACTTGATTTATTAAGTAAACTCGAAACAGTTATTTGCCGGATAATGACAAGGGATAACTTTAGCCATTGTTATATTTTTAGGTCGAGAGAAGCGTTGCCCTCCAGTTAACCCGGAATAAGTCGCAATTTATTTTTAGATCTGGGAATTGGCAATATTTATCCACCCCACTAGCTCAGGCCGGCCCGCTCGCAGGTAGCACTTAAGGTTCGCCAAGCAGCATGAGTTCCTCTTTAACTCATTTGCAGTTCTGTTCACTTACCCGGCGAGGGGAGAAACAGCTCCTCCTCAGCCACGAACGGCATGGGGGAGGCGGTACCTGAGCGACAAAAACAACGGTAATAACAGGGAACTCGAAATAACGAAGCGAAAATTTACGCAAACGAAGAGAGAGAGGGATACATGAAATAGGCAAAAATATGTCTTACAAATTATATAAAGCTAGCTAAATGACAAACAGCGAGCGATGGGGCTGAGGTAAATATAGAGACAGCATCGAAGTGAGGAACGGTACAATGTTCGAATGGATGAACAGTAAAAGCAAAGCTTAACTAAAAAGTGATAATGATCTACTCGATTTTTGCGTGTAAACAATACTACGATAGATTGACTCGAATTTCTGTATGAAAATGTAGAATCTATAGCTATGTGCTACAGTTCCTCTTAAATAGCCATAGTTCGATTGCAATTTTTTCCAATAGTAGATATGCAATCATCTCAAACGTTTACGTTTTATGACATGAGTCAATGAAATTTCTACAGGCAAAACTACACAGTTTTCTCCGTTCTGAATTAAAGCCGAGACAGGGAAGGTCTGGTGAGAGTATAAACAGCCAGAGACATCTTAAGTACAATTTTCTATGAAGCATGTTTGCTCTAAACAGATGAGCACAAAATGTACGGTGTCCTAGCCTTACTGAGTGATTCTGGCAGAAAAAAATGAAAACAGTATGTCCCTACAGCGTTTTATAGATTTATAGCACAGTATATCGTATGCACTTTTAAATATGCCTCTATTGAACATACTGCATCCTAACAAAAAAAGGGTGACAATGATTCTGTTTTTATTCGTACCTTTAGAGTTTTTGGAGTGTCCCCTAGTATAGTAGCCGCGCAGCGACGGGAGATTAAGGGCAACAAAATGTTCATGGGAGCAAATGATCTCGAGAAATTCAAATTTGAGCGCGTGGAGGTCGATCTCGTCTTGCGGCGAGAACCGCTCCAGGAATAGCGATACGAGCCGGAACGCAAAGCCGCGGTTCATCAGCGACAGGCACTTCTTAAGCAGATGTGCCAGCGCCATGTTGGCGCGGCGAACGTCCGCGCGGTCGCGTTGTTCCTTGGCCTCTTTACATTTCTTAAATATTTGCGCTCCTAGGGCCTGCACCAACTGGAGGACCTGCTCCTCAAACTCCTTCGGAAATCGTTCTTGCCGTTGCATCTACATGTAAAAGATTTACATTGCACAATTACTCGGTATTCTTACCAAGAATTTTAAGATTACAAGAAGACAATTTAGTTAATATGATATATCGTGATCCTATGCAAATAATCCTTGACGATAATGATAATTATTAGTTTAAGTAAAAATAGCCCAAATATAGTGAACGCTTTTTGCTTCTATCTTACCTTGATGCGTTCCGTATTTAGTAGAAAGAGAGCCATTGATTTGGCCATCACTTGGAAGAAGAACCAGGAGTGTTGGAGGAATTTATTGATGACAAGAAAATCGAGATTCTCTTGCGCGAACATCTTGCAAAGGGCTCGGCACAGTTCGTGATGGACTGTCTGGCCAGTTGGGGTGACAAGTGACCCCCGCGCATTACCGTTTTGGTTTCCGTTGGAGACGGGTTGCTCGTTATCGATTGTAAAGGCATACTGCACATACGAATGCAGCGCGTCTACTTTTCCCGCCTCGAAAACTGTCGTTACTACATGAATGAGCACCTTGACCGTGTTAAGTGATACCTCCTCGAGACCAGTTGAAACGAGTAGTCGAAATAGCTGATTGATGATGGTTGGGAGGAAACAAACTAGAGTGTGTCCATCCACTGCATGTAAAGCCTGTAAACCAGTAAAAGATGGCGAACACATGACGAATGGCGAGCGTTTAGTATACTTACGTCCATAGCAGTTTGCTCATTCTACCCAAGCAGCTAGTTAAGAAAATGGCCACGAGATTTATTCGTGTATCCAACGTACTAATCTAACGTACCAAATACGAAAAATATAAGTATCCGAGTTGTTTGTTTGTACTGCACTAACAAAAGTCAACCAAATGTTATGTCGTATTACTGTAACTATATCCTTTAGATTCACGTAATAACTGAGCTCTGCCACAGCAGATCAGAGGTCTTGATGGTATAGATAGGTGCGCAAGATAACCCTAAGAAGAAAGCGCCCATGCAAATCTTTATTTGCTGTGTTCATACTATTTGTATAAAGAAAATATGGCCTTTGTATTCTGTTATTAATGGAGAATCTTGAATCCATTTAAGTATAATGAGCTTGCATCGCTGAACGCAGACAGATGTCTTTCATCTCAACACAAGTGTATAGCTTTCAGTATAACCTCTCCTCAGTATATATATATATATATATAAATGGTGTAAAATTGAAATAAAAAGTACCTGCCAAAAAAATCAACTTTTGCACCATTTCTCCCTACCTATGAATCAATAGGCTCATTATCGGCATCATCATCGGGCATGTGACCCTTTGTCCCACCTCCATAGAACCTCTCCCACATGCTCTTTCGGTCTCTCAAGGAGTCGGTGCGCCCTTTTCTCTCGATAAATTTAATTATAAATTACCTTTATTAATTTTGTAATCTCTCTTCCTAGGTCGGATTCCGCGTATGCCTGCTCCTACGGTGCGAAGGAATAGAGAGAACGGGATCAGACGAAGAAGGTTGAACCACTGAAGCTCGCTGTGAGGGTGGTTGACCAGCTCAATCCGATTGGCGCACTTATATCCTATATACTATTGTTTCTATCTTTACATCTACATGGTCTTGGTTCTGATAATACCGGGTTGTTTTTTTTTTCTGCCTACACTTTATCCTTGTTACCCAATCCTAAACTGCACAGATTAGTGTGTGTGTGTGTGTGTGTAGAACAGGGGCTTCTACCAAGCGGAACACTTGTCAAGGGTTAAGGTTCTAGCATCATTCTACAGTCGTGGCCTATTTTCGCTAATAAAAAGTTAGTCAATCAACTATTGTCCGTGAAATGATTTTACTGGACACGTCCGGCATTGCCACTTTACTGGAAAAGTTCTTGGCCACGTCGAAAATCATAAAATATGAAGTAACTAATCTAGCTACGCGATAGTATTTTCAGGTAGCGTAAAGTATGTTATAGAATAACACTTATGCCCGTGCTGCGACAAATGAGGAATGGAATAATATTAATTACACAGCGATCTGAGCGCCGTTTCAACGGGATGCAAATTTTGATTCCGATTCGTTAGTCAGCAGGCAAAAGGCAAAATCAGGCCAAATCGAATCACACGAATAGCATCATTCACCGTTTTTTCTCCGCATTCAAATTATCAAACCGGGTCAGTTATTATTACATTCACCATCTCGTGCGCGACACCAAACATGTCGAACATCTCCCACTGATCTGCAACAAAATTGCATGCATCTTGGAATTGGAAACTCTACGTCCGAATGGAGCATCTGGTTGTGACTACTTCGAAAAGCGATTATCAACTACCAAATGGATCGCGCTGTTATTTCAACAAAAGATCATACCATATAAGAGGAGAACAACCAGTCATCGTATACGTTACTGCAGTTTAATAGGTCATGCATAACAGTGACTGATGCTCGTGCAAATTAGCCCAGGATTTGGTGTTCATGCGAACATCTTGCACTTTATGAAGATGCCTGGCCATGTGGTGCAGCAGATAGCGGCTTGTTATTATAGTGATCGATTGTAATAACAAACGGCTGTATAGGTCGGTAAGATTAGTGGGTCAATCAATGAACGCAAGTAAGGGCGGTAACAAAAATAAAGTGAATAGAGAATAAATAAAGGTGTGCGATCGACAGGGTTTACTGACTGAACCGAACTAAAACAGAAGTAAAATCAGAACCGGATAGTCTTGGGGACGTCCTCAATGAAGGCGCGTGAAACTTCTTTTTATCTGTCTGAACGTAGGTGCTTAACATACATTGTGATCATCAAACTGTGCCCATGGGGGCACGAAGACAGTTGACACGGTATTCGTAAAAAAAAAAACAAGGGCTCATTGCGAGAACTTCATCGCGCCGATGCACACCTCCAACCGAAATATTACTTCTTAGCGTTGACCCTCAACCAGAACAAACGATAGACGACCCTCAAAGAATATCCACAAACATCACAAGTAATTCAGTCACAGATGACTTACCTTCACGATGTCTACCATCGATGCTGCCTTGTTTTCAAACACTTTACTGCAGTGCACGAAAAAGTTGTGCAGGAACGGATCTTTGGATTGAACAGTGCTGACCATTCGGAGCTGCACTCTGTAGATTTCTTTGCCATTGTCTACCGGCCTAAGGTCCGGCCCGGCGAGCCCCTTTCCAAAACCTAACGGTTTACAGGATAGGTATCCACCGGGAAGATTAGCAGAGACCATCAGCGCGTGCTCCGCCGAAGAGATGTTAATCCGATCCTTGACAAGTAATGGAAGCCACGAGTATCCTGTGGTATCGTAAAAAACGATATGGGCCATTACAGGCTTGTCAGGCAAATACTGCTGCGACATTCCAAGCTCGAAAGTATAACAGATATCTAAAATCAGGAAGATACATACGGGGTACTCCAATGTTCTTTAATTGAATTTGATGGAACTTAAGATGCGAGCAGATTGTTGCGTTTTGGTTTTGTTTTTATGCTGAACCCTTCCCATCGATGTGCGAAACGTTATAAAGCTTCCGAAGTTTATTCGAAACCATGACAGCCCGATATGTAAAATGTAGCTCGATGACAAGCTACGACACTTTGTAACCGCTTTAATCATAGTTGAATATTGTTTGATTTTCGGTCCTGATCGCATTAACCCTATGTTTCGCAGAATGAAACAATATCGCGGCGGATACAAAAGGTTCACGTTTCTCAAAATGAACGGATTGTAGAAACGAGTTTATTTCCCACGGGCTTCTTTGGAGACGTTTGCTGGGTGACAAACGTTCCTCGTATGGATGATGGACAAAGTCTAAATGTAAGATTCTCTTCAACCCTGTGCACAATGCTTAATTGAAGTAGTTGTTTTCCTTAAGTAACTCTACCATTTTATTCGATTTTAGTGTTTCGAGGCTCGCACAAATGTGACTTGTCATGCAGCAAGCTGCTTTCCTGGAATCTTTGCATGAGCTGTTCCTAACTGGAATCAGAAGATGTTGCTTTTCATTCAAGCTGCCTACGAAGTTCCCGCAACGATTCGGCGGCATATGAGCTGTTGTTATCGTCGAACATTCCAAACAAATGATAACACTAAAAATCAAAGCTTTAGAACGCTCTACTGTCACCAAAATATCGGCTTTCCTGCTCATCATAGAAGGTTCGCGCTAAGACTCGCTTTAGAAGCCCGGTATGCACTTCCGAAAAGGTAAACCATTGAAAAACAACTTGCGACAACACCATAGTTAATAAGCTCGTACGTACCGACAACAGATTCAACAGCAGGATTCTCTTGACCTTTGGTCTTCTTTCCCGCCTTTGACGTATCACAGCTAATGTGGTAGAAGGTAAAAAGGAGATGGTGTCTCTCATGGATCAGAAGTGGAAGAGCAATTTTAACCTGAAAACAAGTTAATTTCTGAGTTGTAGCGCACAAGTCAAGGAAATCCAATCAAACCGCGCTTACGTACGGGCTACATATTACCTTGGAAATTGCAGACCAATATAAGAGGAGATGTATGTTTAGATACGCTTACCTCCTCGTAGAAGTCTGGATTCTGATTGTGGTGTGTAACGGCTGTATATGCTCGTGAGGTAAACAGTGGCTCCCCAGGTCGACCGTACACGCACCGCAACGCCGTCGCTCCCTCGGAATCGCTATCCCGCAGCTCGACACAACAAGCGAGATTACGAGCTTTTGCAAAGCTTTTCTGACCGTCATATTTCAGACTTTTCGGGTAAACGTATAGATGGTTAAGGTACGTACAGAATGGATGCGCATCAGACGGTGTATCCGTGGGGAACTGCTGCACCTCCAATGTGGGCTCCTCCTCAGGTGGTATTGGAAATGGCTTCACAAAAAAAAGATAACAATGACACTACGAATGCAGCAGCGAATGTATAAAGTCCCTTCCACTTCCTCAACATGCTCCTGTCACAACATTGAAAATCATTATTCTAGTGAAACTATTGGTTTGTTAGAGATTTAGTAATTACAACCAATTTGCTTACCTTAACCGGAATGAGCGCTGAAGTGAGGGAGTTAACAATATTCTCTTCGGGCCGAATGATTCGAATCGATGCCTTGACATAGCCTGGGATAGCGGTCATGTGTTTGGCCTTGTCCGGCTTCCGAAGCTCGGACAACATTTTGAGCAGGTCTTCGTCGGACAGCTTAGTCGCGTCCTGCCTGTAGAGGGGGCCGAAGTCATTGTGCTCGTCTAAGTCTCCTGTGAACTTTGTAAAGATTGCCCGCGAGGTCCAAGCGAATGGCATTCGGTAGTGTCCCAGATGTTGACAGCATTGTCGGACGCTTTTTTGCGTTTTGCTACCCTGCCGACTATCGCCATCCGCCGTTACCCGTATGTAATTCTCACTCGCCTGGCTGATGCTGCCCTGGAGCACCTTCTCGATCCGAACGACAAGGTAGAGTTCTGGCTCGGTATGCTGTACACTGAAGACCGCCTGTCGAGGAAAAGCTAACCATTCCTCGCCTAGGTCTTTGAATCCTAGGGTCTGAACGGCAGCTACAGTAACCGTAGCCTCTTCCGCGTTGTTGTTCGTCGAGTAACCAGTCCCGCTAGCAGAGGCGCTATTTTTTCGCGTTTTTGGTAACATATTGCGAATATATGGATGGTTGACGTCAAAATGAAAATCTTCAGAAACTTTCCGCATTCGCCTAACGTCGTAAATGGCCATCGTCGTAATGTACGGTTCAACCTGACATAGTTGACCGCGTTCCTCAAGGGGCGCTTGGAGTTTGAATTTAATCTCGTTACATCGGATAAACAGACGGGTGTCTTTCTGCTCCTCAAAGGGCTTCGCTTGCCGGTCGTACTCGCTAACCTGAACGGCGGAATCGGTCGTGCCTAGATCGGGATAGATGGCGAAAATGTTTTGCCTGCCCTGTTTTCGAGCGTGTCCAATTGTATACTCTGTTTCGCGCGAATATTTGACGAGGTCGGGGTTTTTCGAATGCTCAAGAGACTTCAAAGAATAACCGTTCAGTGTACCGTTTAAGGAGGGCGGTGGTGACTCTAAAAATTTTGCAGAGTTATTATGAAAGTAGGTAAGTTACTAAATGTACGGACAGCATACAGCTTACGGACATATCGATGCAATAATAAACACATTCATATATTGCTTACCGTCGGGCGATGTCACAGTACTATTACTCTTCTTAGCCTCAAGCGCATTTTTGTTTGACGTCAGAATGGCGGTCATAAGCCCAATCCAACCATCCTGTTCTTGAGCACTTTCCGACGCGAGTACACAAGATCGGCCTTCACTCATAGCGAGTTCAAAACAGTACTTATTTGAGCGTCGTGCATTACGGATCACCTAATGACAAGATCAACGCTGGCATTTATTACCGTCACTTTATTTATCATTTGTAGCAGTTAATGCGTATTCCATTACAAGCAGATGTATTACACTCATTTAACAATTTAATAAATGGACTTAAGCGCTTGAAATAGTGGCATTCGAAGAAATCTAGTAGTAGTAGTAGTAGTTGTGGTAGATTTTACTACAGCAGGCCCCTATTTGTCAGTAGCATGCTTGTGATGAAACGCTGTTAGCCCATCACAAAGCCAAATCGCAAACACAAATCATTAAGGCCTCCTCCTGTCAGTGCGCGTTTTTTACGTTATACATAAGATTCGCAATCAATCCTCTGTCCTGCAGCATACTCCAGCATACTCGAAATCATAGTAATTATATTGTATGGGGAGTACAAATGCTTACCTTGGTACAAAAATCCATGCACAGAGTCCCCTTTGAATCGGTCTTCTTCTCATCCTTATAGAACTCGACGATATGTGTGCCGTCGACGCCCCTCTTGAGTACCATGTAACGCTTCTTAAATGACTTTGTCGCAAGAGCCAGTAGCGAATCTGTGCCGGACTCCGGGCCCTTGAGAATATATCCTTCTTTGATAATTGCACTCTCTTCGGATCGAGAATTCTGTAAAATGTCGAGAATCTATGGTAAATTGTTACACTTACCTTGAACTGTTCAACGAGAAAAAGGTGTTTACAAAGGTAATCATGTATGCAGATTACGTATTTTACTATGTGAAATTGTATTTGCTACAAAACATACCGCGTTTTTGACTTCCGCATCAGCGTCCACTTCATAAATGTGCTCGTGCAGATCGGCCAATCGCTCGACTAGTTCTTTGTATGTGGCTCCATATTTCCCGTATTTATAATGGACCTTAACCCAATCAGCAGCATATGTCTGCAAGCATTGCCGTACGAACAAAGGCAGATCGCATCCCCTATCGGCTAATGTCGCCGTTTTGTCGGATCTGTCGACGTCCCCATGCACTGCACACGCCAAAGCAGGCGGAACCGTCGGCATTGTGGTTCGAATGCTCCGAGGAATAACGCATCGCTGTAAAGGCAAAGAAAAATTATCTATTAAATGGTGGCTAATTAGTCGACAGAAGTTTTCTAAACGTTACAATACAAACGAGTGAATGATAAACAAAGAAAAACTTCGAGAACGACAAATATTGCGTGTACCGTACGCACACGTCTATCGTAAACGAGAGAAGTCCAACTTGAATGATCCAACATACTCGATGATATAAAATGTCAAGTAGAAAATTTCCTACCACATTTGTCTTTCAGTAGTTTCTGCTTGGCTAAAATTGCTCAGTAGAATTTATCCCTAACAACGTTTTAAATGAGTTTAATACTGCCCAATGAGTTTAAATGCACAAATACTGCAATTATAAGCAGCTTCCGACAAACTTCCAATGGCTGAATCGGTGGACGAAGGAAAACGTCACCTGAAGCACACCTAAATGATTTGAAGTAAAATATGGCGTAGATATTTTTTATGTGTTGTACGATACGATTAAATGTCCAGCCTTTTAGCTCAGAACTTCACCAAACGAATAATACGATAGTACGCGTCGTGCGTATAGGTAACTCAAGACAACTTCAAAGCAGCGGGTTGTTCTTAGAGATGTTAGATTCCTATAGGCAGCTTTGCAACTGTATCTTTCTGTAACTAATGACTCAGCGCTTCACAGACTTATGCAGGTGAACATATTACGTAGAACTTACGATGTTTGGCCATTTATTTGTAAGAACTTGCATTTTAGAATACTAAATGAAAAAAAATCGAGCGAATTTCCCTAACAGCGTACGAAATTAATGCAATCTACTGTTTATTTATTATATCTACTACTGACAATCTATTTGATTTTCTATAGCAGTTTTTCTCGTAGGCTTTGCGTTTCGTTGCTGTGAACGTAACAAGTGTAAACCTGTAGATAATAACGATGAAATGCCCTTTGTCTCACTCAGTGAAGCTGTTACGTAAAAACTATCGCACCCGGATAACATAGCTCGGGTACGAAGAACAATGAAATACTGCTCTATACACATTTTGCTGTTTCGCCTTATGGATGGCACTGCCAAATAGATAAGCGGATACATTCACCTACAATGTACAGGGGCACAGTTAAACCTCGTACTGAGACAAATCACTGATATAAAGCTGTTTCTATAATACATAGATAAAAAAGCAACATTCTTAAACGTTCCTTTCTATACGCTAAGGGAGTGATGTCTGTTTTTTTCCACAACGTAAAACACCGTTCACCTTAATCCTCATTTCCGATTCGGGATATAAAGCATTCACCAGTCATTTGTAAAATATTCATCCTTTAATCTCTAAGTAAGTTTCTAATAGCAGTGTGCACGTGGTGGGCATAAGCTTGTTAAGACGTTGCTCTAAAACGCTAAATAGCGGAACTAAATTTTCGGCTGGCGGAAATGTCAAAGACGACCAAAAAAGTCGGAAGAAACAAAAAATTAACCGTTAGCCAGTTGGAGACCGTTTAATCCATCACGTGTTAAAGATTTTTCGGTTTGCCTCATAGGATCTTTCTCGGACTTGTTCATAGCTATGTAAAAACAGTAACAACGTAAATAATCGATTTCGCACAGACACGAAATGTTTTGTCTGTGTCTCCGGTGCGAGAGGACATTGGATGGTAACTGATCTTTGCTCAAATTTGGTGCACAAAGCGCCGTTTTTGCCATGGCAAGTTTATTCACTTTTTTTTTCCCCTAAAAAACTTTTCCTCCAGGAATGCTGATCTCGGAGGAACGTATTGATCAAACTGCAAGTGACTGTCCAAATGTAAACCTAACACTCTGTCTGTTCAGCAATGCAAATCAAAGGCTCTGTTCGGAAAGCAAATTAGACCTAAGCAACATCTATGCATTTTTACGTTCGAGCTAACGACTTTCTGATGCGATAGGGTAGGTCACTGTACAAGTAGAACTTTTATATGTTTTACATTCGTATTCATTTAAGGCCTATCTAAGTCGTGGCATGTTTGCTATCGAAAGGATTTTAAAAAACGATACACGGCTATAATGATGCTTTTTTCCAATAGTAAATGAATCATTAGTTAAAGCAACGCCAAATGTTTGGAGTGCGGTGGGACTAGCTGAAACACTCAGGGCAAGCTTCAGCGAAAAAGCACCTCTTGTAATCTGAATTCAAAATGCTATGGCTACTATTAAAACCTACTCTTGGCCATACAGCGGAAGGGCCCTCGTTGACCCATTGAAGTTTGCGGATTATTTAACGATGCTTACTGTAGAATCATATGAAGTTCACAGGCAGAAGTACTTACAGAGAGGTCATCGGGTGGAAACAGGAGCATTTCCCGTTGGGGGTCATTTTGAAGAATGGTCCGATTCTTCAAGACAAAAGTCTCGTAATCAAGCGGTTCGCTCAGGTGCGGACGGATCTGCAAATACAACCATATATTGTGCGTTAGCAATTTGTTTAATACTGCCGAAACCTTTCTACGATAAGAAGGTATCAGTACATTGATTAAACTGAAGATACGGTGGCCATATGTGATAACTATTATAGACTTCTAATTACTTCAAATTTATCAGCTGAACACATTGAGTGTATGCATTACTGTAGAGTATTTCTGACTGTTTGTCAGTATAGTATATGGTCCAATGCGTACGATCGACATCAACAAGGAGACCCAATATTTAATTTATTTGATGAGATATTCTAAAGCAGGCAATGTTTCCTAGTAAAACGAAATTTTCAAACATTGATAGGAAGACATGATCACTGCCCCGCTAAATACAAAACGGAAATTCAGATACTCGTCTATTGGTCAGATGTGCTGCGTATAGTCATGTAACATCGAAAAGTATAACATTTAATTAAAGCGACAAGCACACACACCTATAAATGAGCTAATTATCATTACATCTGGTATAGTCACGATGTAACAATAACCACAAACAGGGGCACAACGGCCATATAGGCAAACAGTTTTGAAAACAGCAAAACCAACGACGAGTACAAAAGTACTAGGGCCATCGTTCAGGGTCGAACGAACGTTCGATGCGTAATGATAGTTATTCTTTGTAGCTCAGACTGAAGCAGAAGATAAAAACAGTGATGTACGTCTCATCCAAACCGGTATGGTGACGATAGCTAGAAAGTACGTACAATGTGTGTCGAAGCCAGTTCCATGAGCATCATCGGAGAAAACAGTGTTTGTGTGTGTGTGTGTGTGTGTGTGTGTGTGTGTGTGTATATGTGGCAAAGCGAAGAACAGTTGCAGCTATGGCGGTACCGATAGCGATAGTTGTTGTCCAACTAGAAAATTGGAAACCCACGTAGCTTTGTGCTCTGGGTGGTCTAGACGGTCATGGTGACACGGTCCCGAACCGACAGTCTCGTCCTGGGTTGGTATCCTGGCTAGTTAGTTGCGGTGTATCTGCACGTAACTCTAATGGTAGAAGTAATGAAACTAAAACGATAATAGTCATGCATGCGCGGGTGGGTAGATGCTGTTGTCGCTTCTGATACGCCATTAGCAGCATTTGTACACTGTACACCGCTGATACATATTGTCTAATAATAATGTTTCAAAATGAACATATGAAGTGGCCCTGGTAGCTGATAGATGGCGACCCTGATGTTGTAGATTTCTACTATTGTATTCCTGAGAATTCTTTCACCACTTGTATTGCTACTATCAGTGCTTATTTCTACCAGACTATAGCAATTTTTTCAGCTGTTACTGCTGCATTGGGTTCTGCTCTTACCATCGTCATTATCGTCATTATGGCCAACGATAAGCAACAGCCGCTGTAGAAGAAGCAACAGCGAAAACGCAGAAGTGACTCTATGGAACTGAGGGCCGGGGGATGATCTTCTACGGACGCGTCTGCGTTCCCGCATGCATGCATGCATGCGTCGCAAATACGGTTCTACCCGCCTAGCTGTGAGGTATGAGATGAAATAAGAAGGAAAGACAAGACTGATCTCCTGCGCGAGTGACGATCGTATTATATTCACTCACCATCACGTGTCATGCCATCCTTACCTCTTGTACTCCCACAAACAAGGTGGGATCTATACAAGATCTCTCATCATCTATGTCAATATTCAAGCGTCAATAGATCGTGTTGACAATTGCATATTGCCAGTATATTGTATACAGTAGCAAGCAAAACTTCCACGGCGCCTAAGCCGAAGAAAAATAGACCGTGGGGCGGCTTCGTGATTGCGAATCTACCGTAAGTACTTGATAGTATCTGATAGGCATCTAGCCAAAAATACATAAGACCTGACTCGTATATATGTACATTCGAGACTACTATATCCTAATATTTTTTTCCTATAGTGTTTCTTCGACCTCACAGAGATAGACCTTCAATCATCTCTATATGGCCAGCGATGTCAATAATGGTTAAAGGGTGCTTTATTCGACTGAACGACAACAAGGTCGTTATGTAACTACGTTTAGAATCTCTCTGAGTTGTTCGCAAGTGCTTAAACACTTCAAGTGGCCGAGGAACGTTTAGCGAAGTTAGAAGTTGCAAGCCACAAATCGAAACTGTATATTATAAGGAAATATTACATTATTGGTAGATTCACCGGTAGAAAAAATAACTAACATCTCGTGATGTTCATAGCTCCTTAAAAATGTTCACGGCTACATAGCGATTACTGATTACTCGCGACCCATTTTAATAGCCAGGGATATCAGACACGTTCTAATGTCAGAAAGCAGAGCTCTAATATCATTATCATATTGTTGGTATCAACTGGCCTCGCTTAGTTTATTAATGCATGAATGCGGATAAAACGTGCCACCTAGATATGTGCACTTTGGCAATGATCAAAGATATTTCCACAATCTGCTATTGGAAGTATGGAGCCGTGGTGTCTTTGTTCCACTGGTAATGGCAGTGTGCGCACGAAGGCCTCGATCGAAAACTTCATTCACCACAAATTCGTGTAGACGGCAATGTGAAAGAGCGAGCACTTGAGTTCCACCTTTCTAGTCTTCCAGCCGTCGCATAATCCGGTCGCAGCCCATAGCAGTCAATCAATCGTATCGCTGAACCAATTACTGGCCATATATATATATATATATAGATCTCTGTCTATATTTTATAGACATAAGCGGAAGCGCGAAGTTAAACACTAGCTTTCAATGAGCACTCTCCGACGATTTCTAAACTTCGAGCGGTTTGTCTCTCATTGATCTATTGCAGTGATTCGTGGCTTGTCGCCTGTCTCTTTTCTCGTCTCCTACCCCCACTAGAACAGCTGTGTTGACACTTCCTGTTCTAGTACAAGAAAATAGCTACAATGCTGGCTAGCCAATAGAAATCGGTCATTAGCAGTCGGCCGACCGAGTAGCAGCAGCAGCAGCAGCAGCTTTCAGCTGAGCACGTAATCCCCGTCGATATCAACGCGAACAAATCAATGCCAATGGTGCATCAATACAGCGGACGACCAATCACCAGGATGACGTCTAGCAGCAGCGGCATATCTGTCGGCGACGAATCGACAGCGGAAGAAACAAGGCAGAAGCTGTATCGAAGTGCCTATTGCAAACACATTTCGAAGTGCTACTAGTACGCCCTAGAGATGCGTTCCGTTTGTGCGCGACACCAGTCTACGGTTATAGGCCCGCTGCGGACTCGATTTGCGTCTCAGCGCACCGGTAGCTATAATAAATACCTTTGTTATCCTGTTTCTTCACACGCACACAAGTATCATTAGAAACACCGCAAAGCTGTCGCTGCGTTGACAACGTACAGCTCGTCTATTGGACCCGCCGCGCCCCTCGTCTAGCTAGCTATTCGTAAACTGACAGGGACAAGTGTCCAGTAAAAGGACCACTTATCAGCTTGAATCAGCGATTGCAGTCAATAGAAGATGGTGGCGGAGAGAACGAGGAATAGAACACAATCGGAAGGCGAGCAGCTTTGGCATTGACATATCGCTGTCATCGTCCACAATACCATCGATCGTTACTCGGCAGGAAATGTATTGGAGATGAGTGGCCTAAGTATCTGTTAAGAGAGTTCAACACTGCTCATCAGTACGATTGGTGACAAGTATATACATACACGAAGGTACTCAATGTGATTTCTCTATACCCAACGAGGGTAACTGTGATTAATGAAGAACGTCCATTGCAAGGATTATTTGCTAGTGCTATCCAATTTCGATTTCGCAGACACTAGATTAGTATTCTCGTTTTTTTTTTTCTTTGCACCTCATTTCGTCATAGCAACGATAACAGACAGAATTTCCGTGGTCGCTATTCGGCCTGACGAATAGAAAACTAATCATTGTCTTTCTTGTTTGTTATCAATACTTCCGCGATGAGCGACCAGTCGGCCGCTCTACAAAGGAGATCCTGTTGGCAAAATCATTTCGTCAACCTGACAAGATTATATATAACGTCTAAAATTACCGCACGTTGTAATTTACCTGACAGAACAGAATTGTGCTCTATTCAAATAACACACAGTGACCAGTTTGGTAAAAAAAAAAAAAAAAAAGGTAAGCTTTTTGACAAATTACGTGGATAATGTCGAAACAGAAAGGCGTCATTAGAATGATACACAAACAACATAACTCACAGAACAAAAGTGATTTCAAGCTAGAATCATGCAAGGGTTATCAATCAAAAACAGTTCCAGTTAGTTTTTGCTACTGGATGATGTTGTTCCAAACGAATAAATCTTTTTCAGTTATTGAATCCTAATCACTTAATAGATTTTGTTCGACATGTACAGATACCGATAAACAATAATACGTATCTGTAGACGACTGTCCTACTGTGGCGGGAAGCGTGCTGCTGCGTTACCATGTAGAACATGTCTCGGTCATACAATGTATAATTTATAAGCACCTTGCTTTTTGCTGGTACAGTCGCTCGTATTAAAGACTTATAATAGAGTTTAACAAATGAACACTTTTTCTATGACAATCACATCTATTGTTCGAGAATGCAACTCGTTAGTGTAAAGTCTTGACATATGGAGAAGGGTAAATGTGCATAAGAATTCTACGCCCCCCCACCCCCTATCATAAGCTACCGCAGTTTCCGAAGTCAAAACATCGTCCAATTGAGGCCGACTCTACTGAAAGGATCAAAGGCAGTATCGTTCGTTGACGTGCCCGTACGTTGCTAGACCCTCGCAACGTTTATTCTTGTAATCGGATGAAGCTCAACGAGGGCGTTGCTGAAGCCCAGGCGTGAAAGCAAATGTAAACAAACAGCCATTCATTCAAACGAAGCCAAGCCCCGTCTCCGCCGAGAAAATATAAACACGACAGCATATTAATTCACTGGCTGCTAACTGCCGAAGTCGATGTGTCATTTTTCTGAGCGGCTTTTCCCTTTGCAGCGACCTCTCGCTTCTAAGATTTAAATGTGTCACCAAGTGTGAGATCGATGCCGCTACATGAGTGCGGCGTCTTTTCGCGTATGCATATGGGCCAGTGACTGCTTATTCTTTCTTTTTTTTACCTATTTCTCACTAAAAATGCTAGAAAATGAATACTTGTATCAAGATATTACTAGGTAAACACTTTTTGAGACATGGTCGTGTGTCAATGACTGGAATGTGATATTAGCCCTGTTTGTGCGAGCACTGCATATATTTCCACGATAGCGACTTCCTTCCGCCACATAGCCGCATCCGTATGAAAAACAAAGTAATAACACTTGTCTTTTATATAATATTATTTGTTAGTCTATTCTAACATTTTATAAAAATGCATACGCTAACAGCGTCCGGCGGTCAGTCCTTTTCACTGAGCTTTTGTAGATGATGAGCGACAGTTATACGGCCACAAAAATCACAAAGACATGTAAGTTGCAGAAAGTGCTAGGTTAAGCTGCGTTCTAAAGACACGAATGGTTTTAAATACTATCTAGTGAGCTATATTTTTATGGACACTCTCCAATTAGGCCAAATCTAGCTGGGCAACTATTCCGAACCACTCATGTTGATAGCACTGCTATCAGCAGGCCAATAATAATAATAATCCAATGATTACATAGTTTTGCTTTTATTAATGAAAACCATCAGTGAGCTAATTTTGTTACAGGGCATTGGTAAAACCCCTCAACTACTGGCGGGGGGATGTTTAGCATCAATGTGAGGCCCACTTGCCGTAAGGCGGCGGGGTCGTATCGGTCGATACTATAGCGGTATAACGATTACCCACAATCAACAAGAGAAACATTAAAGCGGTCAACTAAACGATTTTGGTTTGGCATTTCTTCGAGAGCGTTAATCTTCAAGGGCGGTTTTTCATCAATTCATTTAAGCCAGTCCCGCGAATTTATATTCTAGCTTTGAACTTAACATAAAAAAGAGACAGTGATATTATACGAATGTGTTTCGTATTCCAAGAAATATACTGAGTTAAAACCGTGCAATAATATATCTAAACAACGATAAATAAAATGTTGCTAAAAAAAATTAACATTTCTAGAAAAATTACCCTTATTCCTTGCAACAATCCTCGCTCGTTGTTTCTGAGATATCAGAGCAATGAAACGTTTATATTGCGACCTGTGCTTCTAATGCCTAAACAATAACAATTTACTATCGTTCGCATTAGATATATTGCAATTATAAAAGAACAATGCAAGTTGTTTTTATCATTACTGTTGCAAGTGTCCTTCTTGATCTTGGCGTCAGTTTTCGTTTCTGTTTTTCTCGTTGTTCTTGTTCCACTTCCACGACCAAAAAAGATTCAATGACCTGTTTTCTCAGTGTATAGCAAACGGGCATGTTAATCCGTCAACACAATCACATGTGCACCTTTACCTAAATGGCCTAAACTACGTGGCACGTAGATTACTGGTCCTTCCCGTTTCTCCTCAGTTAGCTGGCGCCCAATGCTGCCACTGTCGCTGGAACTGCGTCTTCATTAAGCTTCGACTCGGATGCTTCCTAGGCGTGCTTGGACCAAATTAGTCTTCGATCGACGTTCCAGCCATGTTGCTTAATCGAGCCAAAAAGATCAAATTAACTTTCATAGAACAAGCACCAAATCCACTGTCTCACGACTGGACAACAGATAGATATATTTAGTGGAAACACATTTTAAAACCTATCACATGCACACGTGCACACATTGATATGAACGCGATACGGTTCTGTCGCGTACTCTTCGCTGGCGGTTGAAAATCGTCATCGGGCGGTGACTGCACTGATGGTGTCGTTTTAGGTAGCTAGCGGAGTTAGCGCGGTTCGTTCGTACACCATTTGGCTCGCTGCTGTAAACTATTTCTTTCGCGTGCATTGCACGACTAGAGACGAAACGACGGGAAGCGAAGGATGGTTGGCCACAGTATGGTACGTTACGGTGACGCGGTAGAAACCTCAGGTCAAGCACGAACGAACGGCAAACGAATTACAGATAGCAACAATTCTCATCAGCGTTCATTTTCTAGGCAGATAGCATCCTCTCAAGATGCGTCACTGGGATTTTTCCATCTGCCTCACTGTATGTATGATAGCATAGCCGGAAGGCTACGGCTGATACATGCCAATAAGATATTAAATATGTAAAAAGACAGGGAGTCAAGTTATACTCATATGTACAAGAGTATACTCCTGTTATCAGCAACAATTGTGTTGACGGTAATCTGTAGAACATATGCACTGCTCATAGATATAAACGCTTCTTAGCACGAATACACGGTTCGTACCGAAGCAATAGCGGGAGTGTTATTGCCGCATTGCAAATAGAAATTTAGTTTCACTGTAACAAGATAGCCAGCGAAATTAATGGATGATAACATGTTCCAATAACCATTCAAAAATAACAATAGTACACACACACACAAACACAGGTAAATCAGTCGAAATAAACAATTTCATTGGCTCTAGATGAAATTCGTGAGACTAGTAACCTGTACACACATGACTTTTAACCACTGGCCGAATTCGGTTTGTATTTACAGATATTTGGCACTATAATTTGGGTTGAAAAATACGATTGCTGCATTATTTGACGCGTTTCGTCTGCTATATACACAATAAATAGCTAAATTAGCAGGCAACAACTAAGCGTTTGATGATTTATTTTACGCCTATTCCCGGGGCCGCAAAATCAACATGAGTCAACGCTGGAAACAGTTTATGCTGCTCAAGCCATTAGGAGTAATAGCAACAATAAATACACACTTATGCTGTTCCAGTTATAACTATGCTATCTTTATTGTACACCGTATATATGTGTGCTGATGTTTCATATATATATATATATATATATATATATATATACAGGCCAAGTTGCAAGGAACAAAACGTTACACCGCATCATGGCCTGCTGGTAAACTATGATACCAGATGAGCGGATTGAATGAAGCGTAAAGACGTGTCGTAATTTCTTATGCCGAAAGAATATATTGAGAAATAGTAAGTACCGATTGACGAGTAGCGGGCGCTTATTACTCGTGAATGAGTACAAAGGTTTCATATATATATATATATATATATATATATATATATATATATATATGTATAGAATATGTTATATGTCAGTGCGAAATATAGCTAGAGAAATTGATATGAGCCAAGGGCTCATAAATGTTAACGAGTTGTAACAAATATATGCGTATTAAGGTATATATATGTACACATGGCTATAAAATGAATGCTTAGGATACGCGGTACTGGTAAAGCACCTCATGGAGATGAATTCACCCATCGTTCGTATATTATTCGACTTTTTTTTTTAGTAAAGTTCCTATTAATTAGTAACTATGATATGCACAATAACTGCTGTCCTCGCTAAGCAAACACTTAAGACTGTTTTTAATACACCAAATAGATGTCCAATTCGTATACAACAGATTTGCTTATAGCGGTAGTAGGTGTCACTATTCAGACCTATATATATGTATATATTTTTATAGCTGTTTCAAAATCACTCACAAGCTTTCTTTTCCTGGCGAGTACTCGTGGTTTATGATCCTCATATCCATCGGCTGCGTCCCTTTTCTTGTCAGCACAATTGGCACTGGATACTGTCGCTCTGTCCCTTGGGAGGCTTGAGCTTCCTTGGTTAATAATTTGTTTTTTAATGTCTTTATCCCTATTAGCGTCCATAACTACAACGGCACCATCAACGGAACGCCCGCTTTCGCTGCTGTTCTGATTATTACCAGGTGGTTGTGGTTTTTCTTGGATATAAACGCTTTCGTTGGTTATTCCGTCTAGGTTTTGACCATCTTGCCATCGAACCTCCTTCCGGCCGACCGGGATTAAGTTGCGCCCGTTCACGTGAACGCTCACACTGCCAAAGGCTACGGCTGTGGTCTGCAGTCGCGACAATAGCTCATGATTTGCTGTTGGTAACTGCCCGGGACTTGTGACCATTACGTGCTGCGCAGTCGGGGTCTCTGACTGTCCGTTGATGCCGGCTACGCCTGCGCTCGTCGCGTGACTTTGAACGGGCAACTCATGGGCCTGGTGAACCATCTTGACGGATCACTTATTGACGCGAGAAGTGATGTCAGATGGTCACGACCTGAATGAAGCTTCAGTGGATTTAGCATGAGATTTGTACGCAGTATCTTTCCGGTTTATCACTAACCACTCGCACTAGTTTACCAGATGGATACTAGCACTCTGTTTACTATCACGTGTCTGTGCAAGACCACAGGAAAAGCCTCACATTACAGTGCACTTGCCTTAACCATCGACGGTGCTTTGACTATATTACGAACGAAGGAGGTCCCTGCAGGGGGATCTGTAGAGATCAGCAAGGAAGCGATTTGAAAACACTATCAATGCGTAATTGGTACTTATCTATATAAAGGGCTATACAAGTCAAATAGATCAAATTTGCACTAAAGATAGAACATTCTGTGGTGCCTCTTCGACAGTATCTTTAACAGTTATGCGAGATTATCTAATAAGCACATGATCCTTGAGCGCTGGTCGCTTGCCTAATCATGTAATGTTTTTCTGTACGTCCAGGCAATCTAGCTGATTGGTACGCGGATAAGCTGATCTACGCTGATGGTGCATCGCCAGAGTGGCTGCCGTGAGTGCGCATTGTCTATTGAAGTTTCTAGACCACAAAGCGGACCTAAACGATGTTCATCAATCCCGAACACCTTGCAAAGTGATGAATACTATACGGTTTCGTTAATGTTCATTTGTTCTTATACGATTTTTGTTTTTCATTGAAAGCAGATGGAACTATAACGGCTACGAGGGTAACTCTTTGTGACCTTTCCCGATAGTTAAGAGGCAAACATGTAAGTCAGCATTTGCTCCATGACATGAGCTCGTCCGATTCACAGGCCAATGTAAAGAAATGACGTGATTCTAACTTCGTCAAAACAAAACAACAAGACGAGACCCGATATGCGCCTCTAAACGCTGCAAAGATATATTTCTCTTGCTCTCCAGGATCTTTTTCAGACGGAATCACTCAACGTCGATGTACAGCGACATCATCATTGGCCGTCTTCGGTGGCAATAACAGTCATAACCCTTATTAGCCCTCTATAATAATTATAAATGCATTATGGCGGGAAATTCGAATGGCACGTTTATCTTATCATCGGTTTGTGTTTCGACGATGTCTGTTGACACATCAGTGAATATTTATTCTATTCTAGATAGACCACGTGTCTTCGTACGTTACCGTGCTCTGTGTGCCTACCGATTGCACACATTAGCAAATGTATCTTCATTTAATTAGCACATTTCCTAAACTAGCCCTTGAATCGACTAGTAGGAGTGTAGGGGCAGAATTGAAATTTTGCTGTTGAAAAAAACACGAAATGAACAACGAAGGCTCGGCAATATTCTGGTATTCGGCGACTTGTTCACGATAGGAATACTACTATGTCTGCATAGTGTATTCATTAATAAACGGACGCTATTGTCCGTCAGACGATAGACATAAGATGTACAACAAAAGCAGAAATCTATATCGATTTTTATATTAATTTATACGACATTTACGGCATCCATGCATTTGCGCTTATCGGCTTATTATAGATTACACCCGCCGGATTTTTTTGTGATTTCCCGCGGATAATATTTATCTGTACAACGCTGCACATCTTATTTTGCCCCTGAATACTTCATTGCGCATTTGTACTGTTTCGCCCGCTTTGTCTCGAGCGAACGATCTATAAGGAGAACGGAACCAGGCAAATTTTGACCACCGAGAAGTATTCACTCCATATTAGGAGCGCACCACGCAGGCGGCCAGTTTTACGTGACTGCTGTGCATTGTGCATTGTAATAGGTACAGCGTAGTAAATATTGCACATATATATATATATATGTACAGATATATTGGAGTTAGACAGTGTAACGGAATAAAGCGTAACGAGATTAACTGGACTTCGTATCGCCGTTAATGTTACTGTTTAGTGAAATATACACAAGCCGAAGAGGCCGTGTCGCCTTACCACTCACTAAACCCTGTAGGCAAACAAGTCCAATAATGAAAAAAAACCTAAACATCCCTTATACAATTTACGAGATTGAAAGAATATGTGCATGCACTTTTCTCAGCGGAAACATCTAGCCATAGACACCGGGGTCTTCACTCAAAGATTAATGGCTACCGAAGCATAAGAGAAATGTCCCGATAATACGAAACGGTAATAAAATTAGACAACGTCTCGATAACGAGATCTACTTGAACGTCGTTCTTTAACAGATACTGATCGAAGATTGGCCCAACTTTCTAGATTGATTATATGCGTATGCCGCTATGCCCAGCTAATTGATTTCTACCTGCTTTTTAGCCGGATTAGTTCTTTTCGTCTTAGTTTGACTGTAATCCTATTTAGTTTATTACATTTTCCTATATTTCATCTAAAATTACCAGCTGTCGCCGGTCGCCCGTGAAACTATCGACAAGTTGCGCACAGGTTGGACATGGTACGGCATGCTTTATAATGCTGAAATTCCTCGCATTAGCGGCAATAGATAAATGAACAAATTTACTCATTGCTAGGCCGTCTGTCTACATTAGGGGTGGCTGTGAAATGTATTCGCCAGCCATTAGAAGAAGCGGAGATGAGGGTGGGCGTGGGGAAGTAAATGCCTGAGGGCAAAATGCCGGGCACCATTCCTACGGAAGGATATTTTGCCGTCATTTGTTTTTATTTGACTGTGGGTGACATCATCCGTTCCTCGCGGAACTACTGCACGTACTCTGCATGCTATCATTCATGTCGTGGTCACTGCCGCCGCTGTCGCAGCTTTATAGTCGTTCCATCCGTTCGCATAAACAGAAGCATTATTGTGTCGTCCCCGGACGGAAGTACGGAAACAACTGAATTGAGCAGCAAGTAAAACCACGCCGTCGTCTACGTCGCTTCTGGCTCCAACATCCGCCGTCTTCGCGGTCGTCGCGTTTTCGCGGCGGCGGCAACGTTATGGGTGTTGACTAGTTAGTGACTCACTCGTCTCATGAGGGTGGTTACCATTTTAAAGTTTCTCTCGACACGACGGGAAGGAGGCTATTGGTAGCACTCTACCAGCGATGCATATACAGAGGCATCTCGATCTAGAGGGAAAAAAAACACGCTTATTATCGTACAGTGGCGTCTGCTACCGTTTCTCCAACCACTTGCCCAATGTCAACGAATAGAACCGTAGAAATCGGCATAGCAGATTAGGTCGACGTTACTGGATGCCTTCTACACTCCGCGATGACTCGTTTTACGCGGCGAACCGAAAAATTACGTGACGTTTCGTTTACGGCCAGATTTCAATGGGCAAAAGGGAGAGAGAGGGAGAGCAATTGTAAGATCTCTGATACCGGCTTGCTTTATTTGAATAGTAGATGTGTTCGATAAATACGTACGCCTTTTACACACCTGGTCATCTCTGGTTTCTATTTATAGTTAGTGTATATGTTTTCGATATTTATTATCGCATGTTTATGGTGTGACGTTCCGCTGTTACAGTTTTTCAGATACGATATTTCCAGAAACAACAGATAACGACTGATGACGGGTCTACCACAATTCCTGAGTATGTAGTCATCAACTCGCGATTCGGTGCAGCGGATTATTGCATCTGAATGGACTTTAACCTCCTACTATACGGCTCTTATAATGCTGCTATCAATGAAATATCTGATATTTCGATTTATAACGTTCAACATTTCAGCTATTGGTTCTAGCCAGACGTGCGAAGTTTTTGACATTTAATCAGTTTTAGTGACACACCGTAGAGTCTGACCGCGATTAGTTTGATAGAATTCGTATAAAATGCACCACAACTTAAGAGGAACCAATGTTTCTGTAAGCATTGAAGGCGACGTTTCCAATAAAAGTGACGTAGCAAAGAAGGCCAAACTATTTGCGAGTATTACAGTGTGAAAGCCGACTCTTCAATCAACGCGTTCTAGACTTTTGCAAAGTAAACAGGTGTTTAAATAGGCCTTGCAGGCAGCTGCTGGTCTACAGTTAAAAACATTGTATTCGTTTTCCGCCCATTTTCAATCTGTACCTTATCAATACTTAAGCATCAATACGCTATACATGTAATGTATATGCTTAAGACGATCCATAGCAATAAATCCAAAAGACGCATTTTTATATCATTGGTTGTCCTGATGGCACGCACCGTAAGTGTGATTCTACACAAGAATACTGATGGAAAGATTAGCACGCTTCGCTTCGCGTGATTCTATATCTTCGTCGGCCAAATCTGTGCTGGTACCCATTCGTCTGTCTGCCCACCCCACCCCACCTTCGTAAAAACTGCTAAAATGCTAATTTTTTCCATAGTCGACTATAATAAAACGTTGCTGCTCCGATCACTTGACCGATTATTCGTCGTCCGTTCCCTAAACGCTTATCCGTTTTTTCCGTGACTTTTCCGTGTTCATGTCTGAAGCGATTCACTGTTGCTGAGTGTTGTCTAACTGAATGTCCCACGCTTTCAGCACGGTAGAAGATGATATTAGATCAAACGTTTCTGACCCTCGAAGATCTATTACGAGGGCTCAATGCTCCTAATCGAACCTATGCGAACTCACGGAGTATTCGTCAAAGGCTTGACGTACAAGCATATCGTAATAGTCGTTGCTCTTCAAAGCACCTCGATCGGCTATGTTACCGTCTGATCATATCGACTAATAGATTCTTCCGAGTTTCGCATGCACGGCCAGTTGACTCTGCAACTGTCAGTCGACTTTTCCGCTGCCCCAAAAAAAAGCTGAAAGCTATTGTCGATTTGACCAAAAATAAATAGGTGCGTCTGGCCAATCTAACGTCAGGCCTAAGTAGTCCATGCGAAATCGGCCTACGCAAGCAGTATTCAGGCGAGCAATTAACAATCAACAGTCAGTACTAGCATTATGTTCCGGTACCGATATATGTGTATACTTGTAGTGCATGGTATACAACAGGCACACACGCTTGACAATATACATAGCAGAATTATGAACGGCCAAAAAAATACCAATAATGCGTACAGACGTAATGAATGCTGTGCGAGTATGGCACCGTTATTTTTCGACATAAAAATCAAAACAAATGTATAAGGATATATTGGAGCGTGACGAGGCGCTCGAACATTTTTTCATTTTTGTCTGCAATCCTCAATGTAGAATTCGGTGAAATCACTAAGTGCTTCCATTGTAAGGTTGCGCGCCAATTCGGTTAATTGGAGACTAGCGCAATAGTGTATATGTTTTCGAAATACAATTTTCTTTACAAGCTTCTTTAATCGTAGGCCCCATAAGTAATCTCCAGGATTGTTCTACTGTCTCAATACTTCATGAGAAGAAAGACACGGTACACCCTCGCTGTTTGCGATTCGACCTAGACATGTCGTACATCTATTGGCAAAATTTGTTGTCTTTACAATGGGAAAGGAGACATAAGAGATAGAAACAGAAAGGACTACTATTACAATGATTCAATCGGCCTCTGTTACAATGGTGACGCTAGCAGAATAGATGAAAAATAATGAGATCGAATAACTTACTGATGATTGGACAGAAATAGGAGTCGATAATGAGGGGCCGAGGAACAACTTCTAAATCTAAAATAGTTATGCTAAACGCATGTCGTTGTGTCGACTTATAGAATTAGCACGAACTTTGTTCGGAGAATAGGCCATGATACGTTGTGCCTGCTTCAATCGTAGGATAGTATTTTATGATAGTCAGTTATCATTTTGAAAATGCATGACGTGGCGTCCAACGCACTGCGGGACGCACGAGGCCTGCGCAGTTACACACTGGAATTGTCCTCGCTTGATCATACGCCGATACCAGTACACACTAATTAAGCCTAAAGAGTTGCTTATGTGAGCTCGAAAAGTTTCTCAACGATAATTGTCTGCCATTTGTTTTTGCGATTCACTTTATTTATCCATCTAGTCTAGCCAGGAAGAATAGAATAAATCAATTTGACCAGATCAGTTGAAACGTATACTACTTGTGGATTATTTGTCGTTTATAGTAGCGTTTGCATATAACTCTCGGCCACTACTAGCGTCTGCCAGATGTGAACCGACATATTGACGCCCTTTCGTCCTGCCTCGTAGAGTAATCTGGCTCAGACTTCGAGAGGCTCACCGCTGGCATGTTCTCTTTGTTAAATACTATGTTATGGTATCGTATCCTCTAATATCCTCAGACAACAGAACCCAGTTTGGAGTAATAGTGGCCTCCCTCGTGGGAAGGTGCCGACTGAGGAGACCGCTCGCTTAAAGCATGAGTCGATCGGACCAAGCCATATATACCAAGCTATTCAGTTAATTCTGTACGTTCAAAGCGTAACGTCGCGAACTCCACGCCACGCTATACAGGCTGCTACAAATAGCAGCAATTGGTACAATCATGGCTATGGCTTAAGAGCACTGAGCAACACTCAAAAGATCCAAAAGGAAGAAACGAGCCATCTGCTTGCATATGCGGAGTATACTATAAGAGGAGAACAAAAAAAAAAAACTTTTCCTGTGAAGGGGTCTGGACAGTGACAATGGAGCCACCCACATGTTCACGACGAAACCATGGTAAACTATACATGGGACAGCGAGCACAACTTAATCCACAACTTAGTTAGAGAGTACCAATGTTAGCAATTGTACACCCTTTGCTCACACGTACACTCACAAATATTCACATCACTCTTTAGGTACCGACGTTAACAGCTGTGCTTACGATTGCCACCGTATAGCCTTGTAATTTCCATTATGGTTTTACAAGCCGCGAGACAGTATGTTTCACTGTTACCATTGCTCACATTTCGAAACGGTATTAGTAACCGGCTATTTCTATAAGCGACAATCGACAGTCCCAGGTTAACTGGGCGGTCTATCGGGTCGGTTCGCGCGCGGACGCCACAACCGCAGCGACCTCCCAGTCGGAGAGAGGGCACGCAGACAAACGTGGAGAGAGAATCGACTACACCCGCTACAAACTAGCTAAAGCTAAAGCATTTATCGAATTTGTTTCGTCTCATTACTGCTCATTAGTACGTGCACACAAATCATCCCGTGAGGCTATTTGAGCTCATGCGATGGATGTATGATTCATACTTCTATGCAACTTCTATGTGCTTACTTCTATACAACTCCGTGTGAAGAAAATAACACTGTATGTAGTGCTTTTTTTTTTAGGGCGCAACACAATCCTACGGTATATTGACGAAAGCTTAGCGTCTAAGTACGTAACTAGCGGTGGACCTTTTTCTCCTACAAATTTCGAGGCTATAGATGTCGAAGCGAGCCCAATTTAAACTTTATAAAAAAAAAAAACAGTATATCTGTGAAAAGTGATTTCAGAGGATTGAAGGCTGCAAACTTCAAATCTACGTTCGCGTAACGTTGGTGAGGCAGCCATGTTTAACGTAATTTAGAACAGAACTGAAACAATTCCGTTGGAAACAAATACTTTGAGAAGCGTTTGTTGCTCAATACAGTCCCAGCCCATGCAATGCTTCTTTACAACTATACTTTTATGTGGATATTGTATAAATTTATGTTATATATAATTATGTATGCACGTTGCTATATCCATAAGATCCACATAGTCCTATAACAACAGGACGGGCCGTATTTTTTTGTATTTAGCGATATGTGAGCTTATAGGGAACGAACGCAAAATATTATTGAACATATCTTGCATCTGTGTTTTTCAACCTGCAAAATACTATAAAAAAAAAAATCATTATATAAAATAATAGTGACAATATCTTTTATGACATACATATACATTTTATTAATTTGCTATTAGTATTTTTATGACGTCGGCTTGGCTTTTTGTCATTTACTATTATGTTCTTGTGTGACAATGTGGTTCAGTATGTAAGTAGGAGGACAGCTGCATCTCGCTGATAATACGTGTATATGTGGTAATGTTATCTATGTTTCTGCCAGGCAAGTCGTTTGTAAAGTTTACATAAGGCAGACTGAATCGTAAATAATTTCGTTGTACAAATTATATATACATAGATTTTTCTCAGCGTTCAAAATGTCAGCTCATAAACTAAAGAGATGGTTTTTATGATAGCATTGTTTATCCCTTTCTGTACACTGCTTTATGTTACTTTTTTTTTTCGTCCTGTAGCTGTTGTTGCAATATAAGAAGATGTCGATGTATGTCCGCATCCGATGGCTTACTTAAATACTACTTACAACTAAATTTAATCCACAGGGTTCCCACGATGCAGGATACGTCAGAGGTCTGAAAATGGCAAGCGAGAATCCCCCGTAGCAAGTTGCTGATTGGATACAGTTGAGATATAAATAAATCTATCTTGATAATAATAGCCATGATTATGACAATAAGAGTGAGCAATTAGAATGTGTAGGTGTGTCTAGGTTGTAACAACTATGTACGTTTAACTCCCAATATATCCCACTATAAAGTCTAATTATTTTGTTATCTAAAACGAACGACTGGTCAACAAATTTGTAAACAATCGAAAACCTAAAATAGTAGACGATGCTAAAATAAAAGGATAAATTTTTCATTTTTCTGACCTGATTACTACTTTTGTTTGGCTTAAACACTACGCGTACTGTAAAGCGATGAAGAAAGGCAAAAACGAAACTTATGAACGTTATAGCACGATATGTTAAAAAAAAGAAAAAATGTCAGTTGATTGGGCTGTATACGATGGCGTCACTAAAAAAATTAAATGATGCTTTTACATTTTTATTATATTAGTATGATTTTATCACTGCAATTAGCTCACGGGTGTCTTCAATTCGTTCGCCGCACACCATCGCCTTTGCAATCCCTTCTGATGGATTCGTGCAAGCATACGTCAAACTGAAAGCAGTCATTTTTAGCGGTCGGCTTCTGCCAGCAGATTGTTTATAAACACTAAAGAAAACATTTGAATGTTCAGTGTCACCCCGGCATGAATACAGACAACCAACAAAGCCGAACTATCAGATTCTCCGTCCTTTTTGCTTCGAAAAGCTTCAAAGAAAAGCGGCCCATGTTTTCACAGCGATAGACAGCATACCTTTGCTGGTAAGTCTGGTTGCTCAGTGCTTACGCGTCTTCACCTTGATTTCTTAAAACAGCGTTTCGTTGATCTACTTCCTCCGATATTCCACTCTTGGTTCAGTCGTCGATTCTCCAGAGAAAACTGGATAATCACTAATCTAATATTTTTCCTCCATTCGTTCC